GTAAAATTGGTTACTACTGGTTCTGTGGGCGTGGCTTCGTGGTGGTGGGGTAATGTGACTGGGTGGGCGTGGCCAACTTTTTTTTTTTTTACTTTTAAAAGCATTTTTCCTACAACCTTAAGAGGTTGCAGAAAAAATGCTTTTAAAAGCCTCTGACGATCAGGCAACTCAGCTGGGAGCGTCAGAGGCTTTTAAAAGCATTTTTTTCTACAACCTCTTCGGCTGAAGCTTTTTCATCAGAGGCTTTTTTTTTACTTTTAAAAGGATTTTTTTTGGCCGAAGAGGTTGTAGAAAAAATGTTTTTAAAAGTAAAAAAAAAAGCCTCTGATGATCGTGCGGCTTAGCTGGGCATGGGGGTGGGGCAGGGATTTTTGCTACCGGTTGTTCGACTCGCCCGCCGCCATCGCTACTGGTGGCGGTACTTACTGCCTGCCTGTAAGTTTTTCCCCCCTTTGGGAGCTTTAAAAAAAGTAGTTAATTGGGGTTTTTTTTAGTTGTTCTTTTTTTAGACCTAGCCATTTAAAGTTTAGGAAGTTTTAAATTTAGCTGCTTTTATATAAAAATAAAAATAAAATAAAATAAAATAATATTTGTGCAGCTTTCTGAGATTTTGTGTGTTTCTGTAGTGTTTCACTCTAACTACACAAAATCTCACAACGCTGTATGTGGAATTTTGTGTGTGTGAAGTGTGAAAGTTGGTTTTTTGGACTTTTTGTGGCTGTGTGAGGTTCCTGCTTGTTGCAGGGGCCATTTTGGGTCCAGCACAGCTGCTTTTACATTGTGGGTGAGCCAGTTGTGTTGTGTTGTGTTTTGTAGGTTAAAAAAGGGCAAAGAAGTGACGTCAACTTGGCCACATCCACCTGACCAACAAGCCACATCCACCTAGTCACCTGACCACTAAGCCCTGCCCACTAATTAAGCCACGCCCACAGAACTGGTAGCGAAAATTTTTAGATTTCACCCCTGCGTTGGACTAGAAGACCTCTGACTTCCAACTCTTTTATTTATTTATTTATAAATTTTGTTTATTTAAAGATACAAACGAAACAAAACAAATAATAACAAGACATCCAAAACATGTAAACAAAAAAAGAAGTCAGGTATAATCTTATCAAAGTTATCTCAACTGTAGTCTGTTATATGATTCTCATTTGTATATTTGACTCCTCCCTAATTGGGTCTTTTACGTTGTGTCTAAACTTTTTTAAGTCACTATTGGCCTACATTAAATAATTTGTATTTCTATATCTATCTTGGGTTCCACTGGCTACCTCCCAGTCCTGTTTTTTCCTTTTCCTATCTTCCAACCAAGTGTACCACTTATCCCATACTAAATAGTAATCATGTTCCTCTTTATCTTGAAGTTCCTTTGTGAGTCTGTCCATTTCTGCACATTCCATGATTTTACTAATTACTCTCTCTTCACTTGGTATGTCATTACTCTTCCAATTTTGTGCAAAAGTTATACGTGCTGCTGTTGTTATGTGGATTATTAGATATTTTATTTCCTTTTCATATTGTCCAGATGTAATGCCTAATAGGAAGGTTTCTGGCTTCATTTCTATTCTATGTTGTGTGATTTGTTCTATTTGTGTTTTGATCATTCGCCAATATTGTTTTGCCTTTGGGCAGGTCCACCATGTATGGTAGTAGGTTCCTTTGTGTAGCTTACATTTCCAGCATGTTGGAGATGTGTTGGGGAACATTCTTGCCAACTCTTTTATTTTATTATTATCCTTTCCAACTCCGCTATTCTGTTATTCCATATATTTATACAGAAAGTCTTCGACTGATTGTGAGGACCAGCTGTAGTTCTGCTTCCTGGAGGTAATCAGGTCACCTCTGATCTGGGATCTATGACAACTTGATACAAGACAACTCACCACAGCCAACTAGCCGCAGGACGAGAGTGACGCTAATATCGAAGAAACCGTGGAACAGAATCACTAAGGAAAAGATGCCAAAGGAGGGACCAAATGAAATGACAAAACGACAAAAATTAGAATAATTTTTAAAAAACCTTTGGAATAATTAAATTGAATGGTTCCGTGGCAGGCTGGCAGTGGTGAGTCGTCCCATTCCATCTGATCGGTCCTTGCCTCTGTTGGGTTTGGGGTTTGGCTTGCCGGACTACTTCGGAGGCAGATGATGGGTGTGGCCGGGCCAAAAAGTCTCACTCCAAAATGCAACAACCTGAGAGAGAGGAGCAGTTTAGAAATAGAAGGGATAAACAAACGAACAAACAAACAAATTAATAAACTAACAAATAAATAAATAGGAAAATAAAAGAAATGGGGAGAAAAAACCTCTCATGCTTAATTTTTTATTTAAAATAGTGTGACCTCTCCTCCTCCTCCCTCTCCTTTTTCCTCTTCGTGTTTTTCATTTTTTCCCCTTTCTGTCTCCCCCTCGTTACCTACCTACCGCGTGATCTTCTTGCAAAGGTGTTAACACTGTTGGCTGTCTTTATGATGCAGGTTATTCAGCTTCTGCTGCTCTCCAATTGGCTGGCTGCTGTGCCCAATCAGCATTCGGCATTTAGCTTTTAGTTTCCTTCTCTGGCTTTTTATTTATTTATTTTATTATTTATTTATTATTTAAATTTGTAATACCGCCCTTCTCCCGAAGGACTCAGGGTGGTGAACAGCCAAAATTAAAATACATACAATATAAAATTTAAAATAATTTAAAACAGAATTAAATCGAATTGGCTTCTCAAAAATTAAAACCCATTACCCTTAAAATAACCCATTAAAATTTTAGAAACTTGAATATGAATAATGTTAATTAGTAATTCATAATAATAATTAACAATTAATTAATTAATTAGCAATAATTATTAATGTTAACAGGAAGCTTTTGGTGAGGAAATGAAGGAGTGAGTACATCAGTGTCAGTGGTGAAATCTAAAATTTGTTACTACCGGTTCTGTGGGTGTGGCTTGGTGGGGGGGGGTGTAATGTGACTGGGTGGGCGTGGCCAATTTTTTTTTTTAACTTTTGAAAGCATTTTTTCTACAACCTCTGTTGTAAAAAAATGCTTTCAAAAGGCTCTGACGATCCCAGGTGAAGGCAACTCAGCTGGGATCATCGAAGGCATTTAAAAGAAAAAAAGGGTTTTTTTTTCTTTTAAAAGCCTTTGACGATCCCAGCTGAGCCACGCGATCATCAGAGGCTTTTTTTTTAACTTTTAAAAGCATTTTTTGCCCAAAGAGGTTGTAGAAAAAATGCTTTTAAAAGTAAAAAAAAAAGCCTCTGATGATTGTGCGGCTCAGCTTGGCAATGGTGGGGGGGGGAGGGCAGGGATTTTTGCTACCGGTTCTCCGAACCACCTGCCTCCATCGCTATCGGATCGGGCGATCTGGTCCGAACCGGGAGCATTTCACCCCTGATCAGTGTTGATAACTTAACAGCTTAACAAATGTGGTAAGGAAAGTTGTAAAATCGGGCAAAACTGACTTAACTAATTTTTCACTTAGCAACATAAATTCTGGGCTCAACTGTGGTCGTAAGTCGAGGACTAGTAGTCGGCCACAACTGAGCCCAAAATTTCTATCGCTAAACAAGTTAAGTGAATTTTGCCCCATTTTAAAGCCTTTCCTACCACAGTTGTTAAGCGGATTGGCGCGTTGTTAACGAAACGGTCGTTAAGTGAATCGACTTTGCTTATCAGAAGACCACAAAAGGGGTTCACTTAATAGCTCACTTAATAGTTCACTTAATAGGCAAGAAAGGTTGTAAACTGGGGCAAAACTCACCTAACAACTGACTTGCTTAGCAACAGATATTTGGGCCTCAGTTGTGGTCGTAGATCAGGGACTTCCTGTACATATTATAAGGTCTATGTATGTTATGCCATACGCTAATTAAATAAATATGAAATAGTAGTGCAGTCAGGGTGATTAAAATCCCAGTCCTTGTTTCATGCATGTAATGTGTTGTAACGCGGGAATAACGAGAGGCACAAGCAGGCTAGTAACAACAGCTCTTTAATTCAGGGTGAGACTTCAGCAAAAACTCACAGGCAACAGCCCTCTTTATATACTTTCCAGAGGTAACCAAGAACCAATCAGGATTCACTATGCATTTGAATTTCCCGCACAAAATAGATACATACACAACATAATGTGTGTGACACCCTTTAAAAACCGGTCATTTCCACAGTGTTTGCCCCTTTGCAGGCATCACTTCCAAGCTTCTGAGCCTGGAGGAATGGTCCTTCGATTTTGTGTGTCTCCGACTGACTTGTGTCTGTGTGTCTGTCCATGCCTTCATCACAAGACAATGAAACTTAATTAAAATAATGCAACAATTGCTAGAGGAACTGCATCATTTTAAGGAAACAAAATATGTAAATCGCCAAGAGACTCTTCCTGATATAGTGTATATCTTTTTTTAAAAAATAATAATCCAGATTTTGATGAAGAATCTAATGATGATCAAAACCATTAACTGCTTCAAACAGCAGAATTTGCTTTTGTTAGAGGTCAAATCAGAGTCCGGGAACCTATCAAGAAGAAAAGAAGAAGTTGAAGCGGATGATACTTCTGCAGGTGCATCCTAGCAACGTTAGACTGGTATGGTCAAAGTCAACATGTGGACAATTCTCAGAAGCTCATCATTCAAACCTCATTCATTCATGTTCCATAGGGCTGGTTCTTACATTACAGCCATCCCCCACCTCTGTCTTTTCTGAATTTCCACCTCTAGGGAAATTCATAGCGGCGCGTCTACCTGCTGCTGGATTCCCCACATCACAAAGGTTCCAAGAGCGATTGCCATCATAGCAGCTAGACAGGAAGATCATCAACTCAATGGAAGGCTGAGAGAAGTTCTGAGCTGAGTCGGGAAGATGCGTAATGAGGTGGGGTGAAGTGAGACTGGTTGAGCTACCAGCATCCTTGGGGCACTCTCCTTCACATGTGGCTGCTGATTATTGGTTGCCTAAGCCATTGTGATGTAATATGGTACAATAAGTGAGCTCCACTTGGCCATTGCACTGGACAAGTGGTAGTCTGATTTCAATCTTCAGGTAGCAACAAGGATGTCCTCTGTGTCATCTCCTTCCTTTTTTCTTGAACCTGTAAGCACATCTAAAAATTACCATATTGACTGGGCATCTGGGTGCATGCAGATGTCATGTAGGCTCACGGGAGAACTTGCAAAATGGTGGGGGTGGGGGAGATTGCAGACCAATTGTGGAAACGATTCAGATGTGGCTTACTAATGCTCACACCATTTGAAAACCCTTCCGCTGATTTCTACGAAGGTTTCAGGGCTCAATTTCCTTGTCTAAGGATCCTAAACATTTTCTCCCATGTGGATGAAGGAGAAGGAAGACAGAGGTCCCAGCAGCCATTCTCTTTTTCACATGCTAGATAACGGGAGGGAAAGTTACGGCTTTGCAGAAAAGGCTCTACGGTCAGTAATCAGCCAGAGTAAACTAGTCCAAGGCCAGTTAAGATAGTTTGAGGACCCAGCTGCATATGGGTTGGGTGGTCCATGCAGAGCTCTAGATTCTTCAGTTCTGGGTTTTTAATGACATAAAAGATAAAATTCCAGGGGAAGAAGTACATTGTATTTTTGAATATACTTGTTTTTTTTTTAATTAACCTGTGTCATGTTCTAAAAACTCCAATACAGGATGAATGATCATTTGGACTAAGAAGATAAAATGGCACCCAAACCACCTCCCAAACCTCCACGTAGGTTGCTTATGCTCTTCTTATTTCCTACCACTTTCTACAAAGCATTGCAGATGCTGCCTCCTTTTCCCTAACGTCTCCATCAGAAGAAGTCCAGAGAATGTGTTCTCCCAAAATACTCAATTCCATAAAAAGATTATTTTAGGGGTCTAAGTGCAAGACGTGGCGGTGCTTTGGATATTATCTTTTGGATGCTGAGGATGAGGATGGGCAGCTTTGCCTGGCGTTGATTAAGGTTGATGTTCCATCTGCTGCCTTGTGCGCCATCCAGAGCTTCTGAGTCATACATACTACTGGATATTCCTGATGCTTATTTCTGAAAAGCAACTTTACTTGCATTGCACATTAAACTTCTTTCTTCTTTCTCCTCTTCCTCCTCCCATGCAAAGAAGTGAGACAAAAAGAGAAAAGGAAAGGCTTAGGAAGAGGGAGAGGGCATTTACAGATAGAGACGGAGGAGCTGCAATGAGAGCTGTTAGAGACGGGCCACAAGTAAACATAGGGGAGTCCAGTCAAAAGGAGACCTCTTTTAAGGAACACCTTCTTTTGACCTCCCGAAACCATCTAGAGCAACTCCCTCCCTCCCTCTAACCTGACTTATGTTAAAAAAAGAATTCCAGATGTGAAGTCTTCCCATCGGTGGCAAAAGTAGAGTTCTCACCTCCCGGCATCTCACTGCATGGGCTTAGAAAGTTGCTCAGCATTTCTGTCTCTGTTGAAGGTTGCAACACTTGGGCCATTTGGCAAAGGGAGGGGTCCTTTGCCTGGAATGCATGAGACCACCTTCCAGGAAAGGGCAGCGGTCAGGGGAAAAGGAAAAGTCAGCTTCACAATTGATTAAACGACCCATTTGTCTTCTTTCAGCACCAAAGAATGTTTTCGAGCGATTCAGTGACTACCTGGATTCAGATTGAGGCAAAAGAAGAACTAAAATACTGGTTTCACTCTTCTTCGTTCTTGCTGTGGTAATGTACTATATGTGTAAGTTGTCTTCTTACAAGAGATTGAGAAAGGTTTTGAAGGTCCTGTTGAATTTGCTTCACTGATTTTTCTCCCCATTCCCAAAAGACTCTGTATTCTAATGGTTTGAGTATAAACTGAGAGCAAACCCCACTTCTTACTAGCACTGATGATGTTACCTAGTTAGGTCATGGAATGTCTTCAAGGAAACAACCAAGCTCAGAGAGCACCAAGGACCTCTCATGTCAACCCTGCGCTGCAAATGTTCTCCTTTATGGCTACCACCCACGGATTTCAACGAATTAGGCCAGGGAACCATTCAGTTTCTCTCATTCACACTCAGGAAAACTTTATTGGCTCTGCTTTGCCTGCTGGAGCTAAGTGCCAATGGTAGAGCATTTTATACTGATTTTCCTTATAGGCAACCGATTTTGTTAACGTGTAGTTTTTGTTCCAGATTGTTTCCCGATCATCTAAGTTTATACTATGTCCTATATTTTTAGCCCATGCAATCATTGGTTCTTTCACCACCTCCTCTGCTGTATCAAATTCTAGTAAATAGTTGTATGATTTGGATATTATCCGTTATCCAAACTAATGTAGCTGCTTTGTGGTATAGTTCCAGGAGTCCAAAACCACCCCTACTTCTACTATCTTGGAGAGAGTGTAATTTTATCCTTGCCTTTTTTCCTGACCAGACAAATTTAGTAGTAATCTTATTAAATTCATTGAAAAATTTTCTGTCTAATGGTATGGGGATTGTTTGAAATAAATATAGTAGTTTAGATAGAATATTCATCTTGATAGTGGCTATCCTACCTAAAAGCGATATTTGTAACGTCCCCCACTTTTCCAAATCCTTCTTTATTTGTTGGACCAAAACCGTATAGTTATCCTCCTTTAGGGATGAACACCTCGTTGTTAACCATATCCCTAGATATTTAATTTTTTTAACAATTTATAAATCCATTTCCTTTTCTAATTCTTTTTTCTGAATTGTTGTTAAATTTTTAACTATCATTTTGGTTTCCCTTTTATTAATGTTTAGTCCTGATACTTCCCTGTATTTTTCTATTTCTCAAATTAGATTAGGACCAGATTCCAGAGGTTCCTCAATGATAAATACCATATTGTCTGCAAAGGCCTGTGCCTGGTATTCTTCTCTTTTAATTTTCATTCCTTTTATTTCTCAATTTGCTCTGATTCTATTTAGTAATATTTCTAATGTTAAAATAAAGAGCAATGGTGACAATGGGAACCTTTGTCATACACCCTTAGTTATCTGAAATGTTTTGGTAATATCCCCATTTACTATTACTCTTGCCTTTTGTGTCTTATAAATTGCCTCTATCGTTTTCTCAAATTTAATTCCCAATTTCATTTGCCTAATCATGAATTGCCAATTTAGATTGTCAAAAGCCTTATGATAAAATGGGCGCAAAATTTTGCAGAACCAGTTATGATGGAAACGTGGGAAAAAATATGGGTTCAGAATGTTAAATTCACACAGTCACAGAATTTGAGGGAAAATTTCTATAAAATGTTTTATAGGTGGCATTTAGATCCTAAGAAATTGTCGTGCATGTATCCTAATGTTCAACCAAAATGTTGGAGATGTGATTGCTTAGATGCTACATATTATCATATATGGTGGGCCTGCAAGAAAGTGAAGGCTTTCTGGATAAAAATTTGGTGGGTTATGCAAAATGTTCTGAAGAAAAAAATCCAATTTTCTCCTCAATTGTTTTTACTGGGTATAGTTAAGGGCTTTTCAGTGGGTGAAACAAAATTGATATCGTATATGGTGACAGCAGCTAGGTTATTGATCGGTCAATATTGGAAAAGGGATGTTATGCCTACAATTCAAGAATGGACTTTGAAGGTGGCCAGTTTTGCAGAAATGGCGAAGATATCAGCATACTTAAAAGACCGGACTCAAGAGACTTATGCATGGGAGTGGAAGAAATGGATAGATTATGTGCAGAATAAATACCAAACTAGGAAGTACCAGATAGCTTTTAGCTGAATGTTGTGTAGAAATGTATAGTATGTAGGGGGTACAATAGCTTAATATTATGGAAAAAATGTATAGTACACAGGGGGGAGAATAGAAGGGTGGTAAAGTATGATATAATATAATGTGGACGGATTTCACCTTGGGGAAGTCATGGGAGGAGGGGAGGGTTGGGGAGGGTTGGGGAGGGAAGGGGGGGTAAAAATGGGAAAATTTGTATTTGTAAAACTTTTTCAATAAAAAAAAAAAAAAGCTTTTTGGGCATCCAGAAAAACAAGGGCCACTTGTTTCTCTGGATGAGCTTCATAATATTCCAGGCTGTCTACTATTATTCTTGTATTATCTCTTATTTGTCTATTAGGAAGGAAGCCATTTTGATCCGGATGTATAGTCTCATTCAATACTCTTTTCAATCTTTCTGCTATTATGTTCATGAATATTTTGTAATCTGCATTTAAGAGGGATATTGGTCTATAATTTCTAATTTGACTCCTATCAGTACCTTCTTTCGGAATTAATGTGATGTATGCCTCCCTCCATGACTCTGGAATTTTTGCTTCATATAATGTTCATTACAAAGTTCCAAAACACTGGTTCTATAATTTTATTCAGTTTTTTATAGACTTCCCCTGGGAGGCCATCAGGTCTTGGTGTCTTGTTATTCTTAAGTCTTAGGATTGCTCCTCTCAGTTCTTCTTGTGTTATTCCTTTATTTAACAATTCCTTTTTCCTCCTCTAGTCGTATGATCCCTTCTTTCAGTAAATAATTATCAATTTTTATCCTTTGGTATTTCCTCTTGTTTGTAAAGATCCACATAGTAATCTTGTACTATTTTCTTTTCTTCTTCTTTGTTATTTTTTGTATTCCCCATTTTGTCTTCTAATTGCTAGATAATCCATCCTTCTTTCTCTTTTTTCAATTTATAAGCCATCCAACTTCTGGTTTTGTTAGCGTGTTCAAAATAAATATTTTAACTTTCTTGTGATCTCCTCTTGCTCTAATATACTTAATTTATGTCTTGCAAGGGTCAAAGTTTCTTTAACTAATTCATCTCCTGGTTTTGTTTGGAGTCGCTTCTCCAAATTTCCAATTTCTTCCAATAGTTTCAGTTTCAGTTTCAGTTTATTTAGATTTATATACCGCCCTTCTCCCGAAGGACTCAGGGTGGTGAACAGCCAAAGATAAAACACATACAATATAAAATTTAAAAAACAATTTAAAACATATTAGATAAATTTGGCCCATACTAATTAAAACACCCCCTTTTTTTAAAAAAAAACAAATTAAAATTAAACAATTAAAGGAGTTAGGCCAGCCCAGCCTGTTGGAATAAAAAAGTCTTGAGGGCACGGCAGAAAGTGCGTAAATCCGGGATCCTCCGTATCTCCGGGGGGAGCTCGTTCCAAAGGGCAGGTGCCCCCACAGAGAAGGCTCTCCCCCTGGGGGCCGCCAGTCGACACTGTTTGACCAATGGCACCCTGAGGAGCCCCTCTCTATGGGAGCATACTGGCCAGTGAGAGACTACTGATGGCAGAAGGCGGTCTCGTAACTACCCAGGTCCTAAGCCATGGAGCACTCTAAAGGTGGTAACCAATACCTTGAAGCGCACCCGGAAGACCACCGGGAGCCAGTGCAGCTCATGCAGGAGAGGTGTTACATGGGAGCGCCATGTCGCTCGCATAATCATCTGCACAGCCACATTCTGGACCAGCTGGAGCCTCAAGGGGAGCCCCATGTAGAGAGCATTGCAGTAGTCCAGGCAGGAAGTGACGAGGGCATGAGTGACCGTGCATAAGGAGTCCTGATCCAGAAAGGGATGCAACTGGTGAATCAGGCGAACCTGATAGAAAGTCCCCCTGGCCACAGCCGTCAGATGTTCTTCTAAAGACAGCCGTGTATCCAGGAGGATACCCAAGTTGCAAGCCCTCTCCGTGGGGGCCCCCAATAGTCAGTGATGGTACCAACTGGCTATATCGGGACACCAGAAACCACAGCCACTCGGTCTTGGATGGGTTGAGCCTGAGTCTGTTTCTCCCCATCCAGATCCGCATGGCCTCCAGGCACTGGGACATCACTTCAAGGGCATCATTGGGGTGGTCCGGAGTGGAGATGTACAGCTGAGTGTCATCAGTGTACTGGTGGTACTTCACCCCAAAACCACGGATGATCTCACCCAGCGGTTTCACATAAATGTTGAACAGAAGGGGCGAGAGGACTGACCCTTGTGGCACCCCGCACACAAGGCGCCTCAGGGTTGACCTCTGCCCCCCTGCCAACACAGACTGCGACCGGTCAGAGAGAAAGGAGGAGAATCACCGCAACACGGTGCCCCCCACCCCCAACTCTTCCAACCAGCGCAGCATGATACCATGGTCGATGGTATCAAAAGCCGCTGAGAGGTCTAATAGGACCAGGACAGAGGAACAACCCCTGTCCCGAGCCCTCCTCCAGAGATCATCAACCAACGCGACCAATCCCGTTTCCGTGCTGTACCCAGGTCTGAAACCCGACTGGAACGGATCTAGATAAACCATTTCATCCAGGTACTGGGGAAGCTGTCGCGCCACCACACTCTCAACACCCTTCGCCACAAAGTGGAGGTTGGAGACTGGACGATAATTTACTAACGCTGCCGGGTCCAGGGAAGGCTTCTTAAGGAGAGGCCTCACCACCGCCTCTTTCAAGGCGGCAGGAAAGTCACCCTCACTCTATGAAGCATTAATAATCCCCTGGAGCCAGCCTCGTGTAACCTCCCAAGAAGCCAGCACCAACCAGGAGGGACACGGGTCCAATAAACATGTGGCCGCGCTAGGTCTACCCAGAATCCTGTCCATGTCTTCGGGAGTCACAGAGTCAAACTCCTCCCATATAATATTCTCAAGACCTGCCTCCATCACCCCTCCCGAATCTACCCAGTCAGAGTCCAAATCTTCCCGAATTTGAGCGATTTTGTCATACAGATACTGCACAAAGTCCTCAGCTCTACCCTCCAAGGGGTCCTCCCGCGCTCCCAGGTGGAGCAGGGAGCATGTCACCCTAAACAGGGTGGCCGGGCGGTTATCTGATGATGCAATAAGAGTGGAAAAATAGTTAAATTTTGCCGCTTTTATCACTACTAGGTAGGTCTTAATATGAGACCTCACCAGTGTTCGATCGGATTCGGAAAGGCTGGCTTTCCAACCGCTCTCTAGGCATCTAACAATAGAATGTTATACTGCTTCCATTTTTCCTTATTTTTCTTTGCATTGTAAGCTATTGTTATTCCCCTTATATACGCTTCCATGGTATCCCATAAATTTATTAAAGAAGTATGGTATTTTTTATTTTCTTTAAAAAATAATGTCAATTCCTTCTTTATCTTTTCAATATATTCCTATTCCTTTTCCTTTAAGATTTGGGGGTTTAACATCCATCTTCTAATTTCTTTTTTTTTTACCACTCCATATTATTTCAAGGGGATTGTGATCTGCCAACATGTTTGAGGAGATCTCAAGTTTTTCTATTTCTAAACCTAGTTCCTTATTCATCCACATCATATCAATTCTGGACCAAGATGCATGGGGATTGGAGTAAAAGGTACATTTATTTTCTTTTGGATGTAGAGTTCTCCACTTATCTATCAAATTTAGTTCATCTATCATATTTAAAAAAGTTTTGGGTAATATGTTTCTTTTTTTCTTTTTTTTTTTTTTTTGTCGCTGGCATAGTGTTTTTTGGTATCCACTATCCCATTATATATAGCCTGTCATAATTATCTTTTCATGTAATTTCTTATAGTATTCCCCCTGGTTTTTATTAGGCGCATAAATAACTACCAACAGAATTAGTGTATGCCCTCTCTTTATTTCCATCATTAAAGTTCTTCCTTTTGGATCCACATAAATTTGGATAGTCTTTATTCCTTTGTTAATATATATCACCATCCCTTTCTTCTTCTTCTCTGCCAATGCTGTATAAAGTTTCCCTAGTTTATGGTATTCCAAGTATTTTTCATCCTGCTTTCAAATGTGTACCTCCTGGAGGCATACTATGTCTGCTTTTTGTTTAATTAGCTTTGTGAATATTTGTCTTCTTTTTGTCGCTGCATTCAGTCCATTAACATTTATTGATATGAGTTTCAAATCTTCCATTCTTTTGTCTATCTACCAAGTGTTAGTATCTATTAGCCCTTGTAACTCCTTGGGTTCTTGTTTTACTACCTCTTATTTCTTGGCTTTCTTTTTCTTCCTTGTTTCTCTTTTCCCAGGCTCCTCCTTTAGTTTCCTGATGTTGTGACAGTTCTTCTTCTTACGGTCTTCACCTCCTTCTTACTACTCTGCTCCTCTTCGTTTCCCATCAATTGGTCAAAAAAATCTTGTGCCATCACTAAACTATCGATTTTTATCTTCTTACCTTGCCATGAGACAAGCATCCCTTCTAGGAGTATCCACCTAAACATAATGTTTCATTTATTCAATTGTAGAGCTTGGAAATGATAGTCCTTACGTTGTTCTCGAACCCTTCTGGAAACTTGTTTCAGTGTGATAATTTCCTTCTCCTTATAAATCATAGGTTCTTCTTGGGTAATGTTATAAATTATGTCCCGGATCCTCTTTTGGACAAATCTAATATGGATCTCTCTGGGCAGTTTATGGCGTCTAGCATAGTTCGTTTGGATTCAATATATTTCATCCATTTCATTCATAATTTCTTGTTTGTCCCTCTGTAAAGATTCTGCTATAATCTCTGCTATGATCTGTTCTAGATCTTCATCTTTTTCCTCTATCACATTTTGAAATCTCAGATAGAATGATGTCCTGTCCATTTCTAACTGGATTACTGAGTCTTCAAGGTCTTTTATTTAGGACCCAAAAAGGCAGGGAATTTGCTGGGAAGCAGAAAAGAGAGACAAACTGCCTGATTTAAGAGGAAATTTTCTTTTGAAAGGATGGATGAGAAGAACCCGCTCCTTCCTCCTGGGGTGCACAGAAAAGAGGGAGCTGGGCTGCATATTGTGCAGAAAAAAAGGAAATATGGGGGGAGGGAGAAAGGAGGGAGGGAGGGAGATGGAAGGGAGAGGAAGGAAGGAAGGAAGGAAGGGGGGAAGGAGGGGAGAAGCAGGAAAGGGAAGGGCAAGGCAAGGCAAGGCAAGGCAAGGCAAGGCAAGGCAAGGCAAGGCAAGGCAAGGCAAGGCAAGGCAAGGAAAGGAAAGGAAAGGAAAGGAAAGGAAAGGAAAGGAAAGGAAAGGAGTGATGGGAAGGGAAACAAAAAAAAGGGAGGGGAAGGGAAGGTAGAAAGAATCTGATTGAAACCCCTTCCTCATATCCTCATCCTTGGAATTGTGATCTGAAAACACAGCAAGAGTTCCTCTTCCATCAAAGGACCGTCCCCTGTAGTGGAATATAAGAACTCGCACAGGACAACTCACCACGGCCAACGTGCCACGAGAAAAGTTGCGTGGGACAATTCAATTTAATTATTTAAAATAATTTTAAAAATATTAACTGTGGCAAGTTATCGTAGACCCCCTGTGTACCTTTGTTTTATACCCATAGATGCTCAAAGTCCCTGAAGCTTCAGAAACGCTGCTGGTTGGGAAGGGGAGAGGCTCAGTCAGTCCTTAGTGGGGTCAGGGGGAATCGGGGCCACATATGTTCCTCCCTTAAACCTTAATTTGCCATAAACTTTATATTACCTCTCTCTCTCCCCTCTCCCCCTTTACTTCTCTCTCACTGTCCTGTCTATCTCCTTCCCTCACCCATCCATCCATCCATCTAGCCAATCTACTTTTCCCTCCTCAAGGGCTTTATAGATAAGATGTCACAAATGGCTCAACGTGACTACTGGGTTGGACTCTGGAAGAACAGCAGTGCTACCAATGGACTGTTGTGGCAAGCTGGATTTCATGCGGGAACTACGTAAGTTTTCAAACAAAATCTACTTATGTGACAAGTTGTGCATCAGAGTTTCATGCCTACCATCCTCCCCCCAAGGCCAGCCTCAGTCCTGGCAGACCAGTTGTTGGATTTACACATCATGATAAGTGAGTGGCAACGTGGAGGTCAAACCAAGCAACAGGAATGTACGTAGCAGGAGAGCTGCTGCTAACCACGATTGTCGGTGCAGTGCAAAGCACAATCTCAAGTGAACAGCCACAGATGGTCACACAAAGGCAGGAAGTCTAACAAACCACATCAATCAACAGAATCAGAAGCACCCAAGGGCCATTTCAGAATCAGGGTGGTTGAGGAACAGAATCCAAGTTTGTTTATTTGATTTTTATCCCACCTTTGATAAATAACTTGAGGTGGCAGACATACCTAATACTGCTTCCTATTTTCCCTGCTGGCACTAGCTCTGATGATGTTAGCTAGTTGGGTAATGAAATGTCTGCAAGAAAACAATGAAGCTCAGAGTGCACCGTTTCAACCCTGAGCTACAAAGATTCTCTTTTATTAGATCAACTTCTGCCGCAGATCTGACAAGGTGAAATATAACCCCTAACATCTCCCCTTACCCTTGACCACTGGAAGTCCCTAGGGACCTCCTGTTGAATTTCAAATATCCACTCACCCCCTCCCCCAACGCCCTGCTGTAAATTTGCCAGTAACAGGTTTTCTATTTCATACAGACAGAAAACCCTAATCTAACAATAACCCATTGTGACTGTGATTTGGGGGCAGGAGAAAGCTCTAGATCGACTTAGATCTAGACCTGGATCTCTACATTTATATCTCTAGATCTACATATCTCGATCGAGACTGATGAGTATTGTGGTTCTTTTTTCAGGTACTGGGCCAAAGGGCAACCCAATGGTAGAGATAGAGAAAACTGCATTGCCGTCTTACCTAAATGCTCACTTAAGGCCTGTTGGCATGATGCTCCTTATTCTGACCTAAGATTCTTTTCTTGTAAGATGATACCCAAGGACATGTGGTTCTACTAGCTAATTCAAGACGATGGAAATTGATTATAAGATCTCCAAACTCCGCTGCCTTGGTGTTAATAAATGCATTCTGGGAACCAAATTTTGCCAACTTCCTTTTCTCTGTCAGCTTCCTACTTGTCCTTATCATCTTGACAAAATATATCTCACACCATCTGAAAAAAATTATTGAGATTGTGATAAGTTACACAATACTAGCTTCTCCCCCCCTGTAATATATCATTCTTTATATCCTTTAGTGGCTGAAGGGAGGGCAAGATGTTACAAGGATAAAGAATTATAGATCAATTTCATTACTAAACAATGACTATAAACTTTTTGCTACAATTTTGGCAGAAAGATGAAAGAAGATTTTACAGGTGTATATATATATATGGCTTTCTGCCAAAATGACTTGGTGCTTGAGGTGGAAAAGAACGAAACTTTGATTTTGGGTTTTACCGATTAGACGGTTTTTTTGTTATAGAAATGGCTAGTTTATACTACTTTGTAAAAGCAAAAAGTTGAGCTTTGATGTTATTATTTTATTCTACTGCACCAAAGGAAGTCAGAAGTTAACAAAAACAAAATTAATAAAACTTCACATTTGCCTTACGTGGATGACCTGAAGTTTTATGGAAAAATCAGAACTCCAAATCCCATCACTGACAAACATTGTAAGTATTTGTGGGGCAGAGATGTAGCAATGGAGTTTGGCTTCAATGTGCTTCAGTAGCAATAAGGCAGGCTAACCTCATAACCGATGATGGAACTGGGATGCCAAATGATCAAAGAACCCATCAGGAGCCCTCAGGAGGAAGCTTACAAGTATCTAGGGATTTTACATTTCTGGATCACTTGCATGGGCAAGTTAATAATCCAATTCGTAAAGAATACATCTGAATTTATTTTTATTTTATTTTATTTTGAATTTGTATACCGCCCTTCTCCCTGAGGACTCAGGGCGGTGAACAGCCAAGTAAAAACATCAAGTACAAATATTAAAATACAGTTAAAATATACATATATAAATTTGGCCCCATTAATTAAAAACAATAAACAAAACACTTAAAAACACTTAAAAAATTAGGCCAGCCCGGCTTGCTGGAAAAGGAAGGTTTTAAGGGCACGGCGGAAGGCACCGAGGTCTTGGATTCTCCTTATCTCTGGAGGCAATTGATTCCAGAGGGTAGGTGCCCCCACAGAGAAGGCCCTCCCCCTGGGGGTCACCAGCCTGCACTGTTTGGCTGATGGCACCCTGAGGAGGCCCTCTCTGTGGGAGCGCACGGGTCGATGGGAGATCGTCGGTGGCAGCAGGCGGTCTCGAAGATAGCTAGGCCCTATGCCATGGAGCGCTTTAAAGGTGATAACCAACACCTTGAAGCGCACCCGGAAGACAACTGGGAGCCAGTGCAGCTCGCGCAGGAGCGGTGTTACATGGGAGCGCCAGGCTGCTCCCGTCACTACCCGTGCTGCTGCATTCTGGACCAGTTGGAGCCTCCGGGTGCTCCTCAAGAGGAGCCCCATGTAGAGAGCGTTGCAGTAGTCAAGGCGAGAGGTGACGAGGGCATGAGTGACTGTGCACAGGGAATCCCGATCAAGAAAGGGCCGCAACTGGCGGATCAGGCGAACCTGACAAAAGGTCCCCCTGGTTACAGCCGTCAGATGTTCCTCCAAGGACAGCTGCCTATCCAGGAGGACTCCCAGATTGCGAGCCCTCTCTGTGGGGGCCCCCAATAGTCAGTGATGGAGTCAACTGACTATATCGGGATGCCGGGAGCCACAGCCACTCAGTCTTGGAAGGGTTGAGCCTGAGCCTGTTCCTCCCCATCCAGATCCGCACAGCCTCCAGGCACTGGGACATCACTTCAAGGGCATCGTTGGGGTGGCCTGGGGTGGAGATGTACAGCTGGGTGTCATCAGCGTACTGGTGGTATCTCACCCCAAAGCCACGGATGATCTCGCCCAGCGGCTTCACATAAATGTTGAACAGGAGGGGCGAGAGGACCGACCCCTGAGGCACTCCACATATAAGAGGCCTTGAGGTCGACCTCTGCCCCCCTGCCAACACGAACTGCGACCGGTCGGAGAGAAAGGAGGAGAACCACCGTAATACGGTGCCCCCCATCCCCAACTCTTCCAACCGGTGCAGCATGATACCATGGTCGATGGTATCAAAAGCCGCTGAGAGGTCTAACATCTGAAGACTGAGAAGACAAAATTGAGCAGTGGAAACAGCATCAATAACTGGCCAACCTGTGATCCAATAGACAGCTGGAAATATTAACCGGACACAAACTGAACTGGGCCTTTTGAACCAAAAAAATAAAAAAAATTGATGACTATTCACTGGGCATGACAGAAGACACGATGAAAAGTCTTTAATTTCACATCATATGGGCAGACTTCACCCTTGTTTCAAGTGGGAAATGGTGACCATCCTAGATCAAGCCAAGTCCAAAAACAGTAGGGAATTCCTAGAACTCTGACAAATTGGCCATCAATGGACACACAGACATAAACGATACCTACATACTGTGCAAAAGAGATAATCAACCTTACCCAAAAAGGGAAACCAAAATAGTAAAAGGCACCTCCCCACCAGCAATCAGCACCCAGATGAGCTTAGATTAACTGCAAGATTAACCTCAGGCCAACAACCAAGAAGTCAACAATGAAAGAGGCGGTGGTGAGGCCTTTCCTCAAGAAGCCTTCCCTGGACCCGGCAGTGTTGGCAAATTATCGTCCAGTCTCCAACCTTCGCTTCGTTGTGAAGGTTGTTGAGAGTGTGGTAGCGCGACAGCTCCCCCAGTACCTGGATGAATCGTCGTATCTGGATCCGTTCCAGTCGGGCTTCAGGCCTGGGTACAGCACGGAAACGGCATTGGTTGCATTGGTTGATGATCTCTGGAGGGCTCGGGACAGGGGTTGTTTCTCTGTCCTGGTCCTATTAGACTTCTCAGCGGTTTTTGATACCATCGACCATGGTATCATGCTGCACCGGCTAGAGGAGTTAGGAGTTAGAGGTGGGGGGCACCGTCCTACGGTGGTTCTCCTCCTTTCTCTCTGACCGGTCGCAGTCCGTGTTGACAGGGGGACAGAGGTCGACCCCGAGGCCCCTTGTATGTGGGGTGCCACAAGGGTTGGTCCTCTCGCCCCTTCTGTTCAACATTTATGTGAAGCCGCTGGGTGAGATCATCCGTGGTTTCAGGGTGAAGTACCATCAGTACGCTGATAATACTCAGCTGTACATCTCCACCCCGGACCACCCCAATAATGCCCTTGAAGTGATGTCCCGGTGCCTGGAGGCCGTGCGGATCTGGATGGGGAGAAACAGACTCAGGCTCAACCCATCCAAGACCAAGTGGCTGTGGTTTCCGACATCCCGATATAGTCAGTTGGTGCCATCACTGACTATTGGGGGCGAGTCATTGGCCCCCATGGAGAGGGTTTGCAACTTGGGTGTCCTCCTGGACTCATGGCTGTCTTTAGAAGAGCACATGACGGCTGTGGCCAGGGGGACTTTTTATCAGGTCCGCCTGATTCGCCAGTTGCGTCCCTTTCTGGATCGGGACTCATTAAATACTGTCACTCATGCTCTCGTTACTTCCCGCTTGGACTACTGCAATACTCTCTACATGGGGCTCCCCTTGAGGAGCACCCGGAGGCTCTAGCTGGTCCAGAATGCGGCCGCGCGGGTAGTTATGGGAGCGACGTGGCGCTCCCATGTGACCCCCCTCCTGCGTGAGCTGCACTGGCTCCCGGTGGCCTTCCGGATGTGCTTCAAGGTTTTGGTTACCACCTTTAGAGCGCTCCATGGCATCGGACCGGGGTATTTACGAGACCGCCTTCTGCTACCAATAGCCTCTCACTGACCAGTACGGTCCCATAGAGAGGGGCTTCTCAGGGTGCTATTGGCCAAACAGTGTCGACTGGTGGCCCCCAGGGGGAGAGCCTTCTCTGTGGGGGCACCTACCATCTGGAACGAGCTCCCCCCAGAGATATGGAGGATCCCGGACCTGCGCATGTTTCGCCGTGCTCTCAAAACTTTTCTATTTCAGCAGGCTGGCCTGGCCTAACTCTCCTCTTTTAAATTTTTAATTCGTGATTTTATAAATTGGGTGTTTTAATCTATGTTTCAGCCAAAATATTTAATAATTTTAAGAGATTTTTAATATTTGTATTATCTGTATTTTATCTTGGCTGTTCACCGCCCTGAGTCCTTCGGGAGTAGGGCGGTATAGAAATTTGATTAATAAATAAATAAATAAACAATATCCCAATCAATACACTGGATCCTTGCTGGCTTACCTCATCCCATTTTGTGCATCAGAGGTAGGATGTGCCCGAGACAGAAGGATTTCCACGCAGCCGAGAGGGACCTTCTTCCTGGGGAAGGTGCCCTGAGTGCCAGTTGCATTCTGAACGGGGCAAGGAGGAGGGATGGTTCAGCAGGAGGTGGAAGGAATATTTTGCACGAGTGAGGAGGAGGACTTCCCTTTCTCCCGCCAACCTCAGCGGCTGCAGGATATTTGGGGAGCCCATTCCTGAGCATTTTCACAGCTGGGAGCATCCATGGGTCCTCCGTTTCCCTGGGCTTTGTTGCTGAGCTTGGATTCACGTTCCCTTTTAAGGGAATAGTGGTGTCCTCAGAGTTCCTGGCTAGGAGGAAAAGCCACTTATGTTTTCAAGTAGGAGATGGATTACACCCCCTGAGAGATCTCCTCTTCTCGAGTGACAGCAAGTTTGCAGAGCAAGCAATAGCAATAGTTCTTAGACTTATACACTGCTTCACAGTGCTTTTACAGCCCTCTCTGAGCGGTTTACAGAGTCAGAATAATAGCGGAGTCATGACAGCATGGTCTGCTCCGAGAAGTATCTCTATGATTCTTTTCCACCTTTATTTATGAGAAAATTGTTGATTGGATTCTTTTTTCTTTTAGTTTTGCCTCATGATGCCTATGTCTGCATTTATGTTGTTTGAAGGAGACAACAAAGAAATGGAAATTTGGACAATTGTTTGGGATTTTGTATCTTCCCTTAGTGGTTGGGGAGTGGGTGTTGTCTTTTATTTTGCCAAAAACAAAATAAGCTTAAAAATTAAAGGAAGTTAAAGATTGATGAATGATGAAATGAATCTTAATAAAACTGTAACTAATTTCCATGGCTTCTATTTACACTACATTTTAAAAGTCCAATTTTACTTCAGTTCAATCTTCTTTTCTCTTTTTTAATTCCTGCTTTCTATTCCTGTCCTGTTCAAGTCTTATACTTTTATTCCAGATTTCCCCCTTATTTGCTCCTTGGTTGGGCTTCCTGGTGTTTTCTCCTGAATCTTTGATCCATCTGAGGGAAATGGCTGAGAGAACAAAGATGCCTTTCTCCACTCATTTCTTTCAGCTGCTACACCCTTTCCGGAGCCTCTCCTCATCAGGGCAGTCTATCTTTCAGTTGCAATCTTCACTTTGACTCCTATCTTTGGCTCTGTTTTTTCAGCCTAAGGCCTGTGGCAGTAGAGCTTCAGGCAGCCAACTAATCATGAAGAGGCCTATCCAGAATCACCTGAACCTTGAGGGCCAAAGAGCTTTGGCTCTTTTTATTTGGCTACTTCATGAGGCCTATGGTGGCAAAGCTTCAGACAGCCATCTTGTCTTCCCTCCTTCTCACCGCCTGCCTAGCAACAGCCCTTTGATTGGGCACTACTATTTGATTGGCAGCTGGATCAACCTGTGGACAGCCACAAAGGTGGGGAACATGGAGCACAAGGGCCTATCACCTACTGAGGTGATCCTTCAATTACAGATGTCAGCCTGAGGGTCAACTAATCATGAAGAGGCCCATCCAGAGTCACCTGAACCTCGAGAGCCAATAAAAGAAAAGAAGCGGTTTTGGCGGGAAGGGTTGAGGTATCTTTGGGGAAGGAGGGCAGCCATGATGGGTCCCCTCAGGGAAGGCTGGAAACTGGCTTGATTATAGTTCAACTTGTGTGTTTTTCCACTGATTCTTTGTGCATAGATCCATTTCTTTCTTGTCTTTTCTTTGTCTAGGTCACGCTGCTTGCCCATTTCTGCCAAGGTCTTTCTCTCTACATTTTACAACCATTTTCTGCTTTCATGGCCACTTCTCCCATCAGTGCATCAGGGACAGAACTTGTGTCATGAAGCATGACTCACATCGAGATATTTACGACTAAAACTTGGCTACTGCAGGCAACCCTGTGTATGGGTCTCGACTAAAGGGAATAAATAACTGGTACTTGTTGGGTTTTTGGCATTCTCTGAGGTTGGTTTCCTGCTTGCAGATGTTTGAGAAGAGGGCTAGATAATTTCATCAGTATTCTGATGATATGAAGTGAGGTCTAATGGCTGTTTATATAACAATAACAGAGCTGGAAGGGACCATGGAGGTCTTCTAGTCGAACCCACTGCTCAAGCAGGACAGCCCTCTACCATTTCAGACAAATGGCTGTCCAGTCTCTTCTTAAAAGCCTCCAGTGAGGGAGCCCCCACAGCTTCTGAAGGAAAGCCATTTCTCTGATTAACTGTTCTAATTCTGAATAAATTGCTCCTTATTTCTAGGTTGTTTCTCTCCTTGATTAGTTTCCATCTGTTGCTTCTTGTCTTGCCTTCAGACGCTTTGGAGAATAGGTTGCACCTCTCTTCCTTGTGGCAGCCTCCCAAATATTGGAATATGTTATCATATCACCCTAGTCCTTCTTTTCATTAAACTAGGCATACCCATATATCCTTCGGCCATCTAATGAGAAGGAAGGACACACTGGAGAAGGATTCACTGAAGAGTCTAATGCTGGGAAAGATTGAGGACAAAAGAAAAAGGGGACAACAGAGAACGAGGTGGCTGGATGGAGTCACTGAAGCAGTCGGAGTGAGATTAAATGGACTCCAGAGGATGGTAGAGGACAGGAAGGCCTGGTGGAACATTGTCCATGGGGTCGCGATGGGTCGGACACGACTTCGCAACTAGTCGTGGGGTTATACGCAATCTGCTGTTATATGCCTGTTGGTGGCTCATTGGTCAGAGGATTGTGGTTCTAGAAAATGTTTTACATTGTTGGAGCTACACAATCATCCTAGCCAAACCCAGCAGCACCAGAAGACAACCAGGGGTCATTTATAACATATAATGTGGGGATGGTGAATCCTCCATGTAAGCAAAGAGGTAGGATGTGGGGTGGCCACATCCACGGACATCAAGCACTGTTGGTGTCATTTGTATCCTTTTTCTATTTTCTTCCAGAATTGTTGTACTTTTAATTTTTGTACGAGATATATTTTATATTATATTTTTCAGGTGAACTTCTGTGAGTCGTTTTTGATGGCAGTAACATAGTAATATATTCCATAAATAAATAAAATAGGCACAGAACCTAACAAACACGGCCCTCCCCGATAAGTCCATCTCTGAATAGGATGAGTTTGCTTACTGGATGGATTCACTTCAAAACATTTTTCTTCTCATCCAAGAAGCTTCCTCAGTTCTCTTTTTCTTCAGAACTGAAGAAGCTTCTTGGATGAGAAGCAAAACACCTTCAAGGAAAAACAAAGCCCAGTTGCCTTTTGAAAAAGCAACTTTGGGATACCCATGACCCGGATGACCGAGAATCTCCACAGACATTTCTCTCTTTTAGTGGCCTATTTGAACACAGTTTTTAAGTGGGGAACATAAAGGTGGGATATCAGTTCAGTCATACGAACTGGAGATTCTTGTTGAAAACCCACTTTAGGACTGTCAAAGTGAGGAGATGGAGCTTTTTTTACAGCATGATCACCAAAACTGGATGCCATATTCCAAGTGTGGCCTTACCAAGGCTTTATAAAGTGGTACTATCACATCACGTGATCTTGATTCTATCCCTCTGTTGATGCAGCCTAGAACTGTGTTGGCTTTTTGGTCAGCTGCAGCACATGGCTGGCTCATATTTAAGTGACTGAATGCACTAAAAAGTATACTACATCTGAAGCAATGAAACATTTTAAAACAACAAAAAGCATCCAAAAGACATGTACATAGCAGCTGAGATACTTGGCCAGTTAGCAATACTGGCAGAAAACATGGCCCTTGACACATTCAGTGCCCCAGGCATGGGGACACAGTGATGTTTTTAAGGCTGTACTGAAAAAGGCACCGGTGCTTTTCACCACAATGCCATATGCAACCGGTCATTCCTTCAAGAACCCTTGCATGTATGCTAATACCAAGGTAGCTATTTCCAGCAAGGACTGCATCTACCCCAGTTCTACCGAGGAAATCCCAGTTTGGACAATTTTGAAGCAGGAGAAGAAAATCCACACTGTACTTAGACTTTGCTGAGGACCACCTGAAATGCAGAAGCTTCCCAGGGCCAGAGGAAGAAACTGAGGGCTAAGCGCTGAATCCTGATTGGACACAGCAGCCAGCCAATCGGAGAGCAGCAGGAGCTGAATATTCTACATCATAAAGAAAATGAACTTCTGAAGCTGCAGAAGGAAGCTCCAGTTGTAGGTACCGAGAGAGGGGAAGAAGAAAAAATGATTAAGGCTCTCGAGCAATAGTGCTTCTGCTCACCTGCTCAAGTCCAGGAGTGGCTCCAGGGTCTGCAGGTTGGCTAGGGACTCTTAGCATCCTGCCTCTAATCCCTCTGCCACTGGGCTGCGATTCAAGGAGAAAGTGAGATAAATGTTTCTTTTTGGACCAGGAAACTGGGGCATTGGAAGGTGCAAGTGCTCAGGGACCCGAGCAGCACATTTTCTTCACTGGGTCCGAACTCTGGAGCGACCGATTCCTGGGAGATCCCTGCCCAATCAGCATCTGGGAGGGAAAGTTTTCCCAGAGATGTGCTGTTTCACTGCTATTGTTTAGCAGAGTGACTTTTGTCCCGTGCTGTCTTTGTATCTGTGCTCAGGCTGTTTATAGGTGATGGATTTGTAGCTTTCCTTCAGTTTTTGGTTTGTGTGAGATGTTTTAGTTGGTCTGTGCTCCACAGAGAAGACAGGAGTCCTCTGCCGAGGTTCACGTTTTAGAGTGGGAAAAGAGAGACCAGGTCGGAGCTGTGCTCCACCCCAGACTCCATGAGTGACCTTGAACCAATCACTCCACTTCACCACATGGAATTATGCTTATGGCTTGCAATCATGACTGTAATAGTATTTAAGGGGCTTCCACAAAGACGTGATGCTGACAATGAGAACAATTAGTCAGTTTAACAGCTTGCCTTCCAAAGTTGTGGGTGCTCCATCACTGGAGGTTTTCAAGAAGCGATTGGACAACCATTTGTCCAGGATAGTGTAAAATCTTGGGCAGGAGGTTGGACTAGAAGACCTCCAAGGTCCCTTCCAACTCTGTTACTGTGTTAATTTCTTCAATTATGTGTCTTCCCTGCCTTCTTCCACCAGTTGTCCACTACCTTAGATACAGGGCCTTGTTCTTGTGAAGCTGCTGTATGCTGGGCTGTGTTCTTCCTTGCTACCCTGTTAACAGGACCTTGAGGAGTCAGGAAAAGTTGTGTACGTGGATGGAAGCAGAGTGAGGAATGTGTAGTTGTGATCAAGCCAAAAAAAGAGTAACATTTTAAGTAGTATCGTATTGAGCATCTGAGTGTATGGAGAAGCTGAGAATGCCAGATCTAGGAGAGTCACTATGTTACAAGAATCTCACCAGACTGACGGCATCCCCCTGGGAATGGTCAGATAAGGCTTCACGAATTGCAGGGGAGGGCAAGCCTTTGATGCTTCCTGCTGTGGTGAGAATCCAAATTCAGGCCCCTCTTAACTCCTCTGTCCAGCCTAGCTGGAGATTCTACCACATTTATATACACAAAGTTCTTTAGCCCTATGGCAGGTAACTATGTGGGAATTGAATTGGAGTCAATATGTATATGTGTGTGTGTGTTTGTGTGTGTGTGTATTACACAAACACACACACACAATGTGCCACTCTCATAAAAGTGGAATATAAACATAACCAATCAAGGTAGAATCAGGATTCAAAATACAGTTGTTGGGTCCAAAGCCTTTGATTAAATGTTGTTTATTTCTGAAGTCCTCCTGGTTGTTGTCCATTTCCTCCTCCTGGTTTTAATACAAAGGTTGGGGCTGGAGTTGGCTTCTCTGTCTTGCAACATTAATTTTTCACCGTCTGCTCCACCATCTTCTTCACTTTTCAGGATGAACTGTTAAATACACTGAAGAGACCAAATGGGTCACAAAAAGCCACCTGGACATCGTAAGTGGTTTCTGCCATTTTTTTCTCTGTTAAAGAATATGTAGTTGATACATGATGGGCTACAGTTCTTCCTCCCCACCTTCCATAAATTTTAGTGGAAGTTTAAAAGAGAATATAAAATAATTACCCAAACTAACAAAGAACAAAAAGAAAAAAAAAGAAAAGGAAGGAAGGAAGGAAGGAAGGAAGGAAGGAAGGAAGGAAGGAAGGAAGGAAGGAAGGAAGCCAAAAGAATAGAAAGATGTTTCCAATTTCCTTTGTAGCAAGTATAATTACAAAATTATCTTATTTTTTTCCATTATCCAATTATTCAAAGCATGTGCATTTTTCCCATTTAACGCAATCAGGATTTTTTAGTCAGCCAGAAAGATATTGTCTTGATCAAAAAAATCATTTAATCATCTCCACAGTCAATTTCAACCACATATTTTTCCATTGATCTATTTGTATATTGTAGTGAATTTTTCAGCCCATTTGATCATGCATTCTTTCACTTGTTCTTCTTTTGCCTATTTCAACCAATGTTAACATGTTCATTATTAATAAATATTTCAAATTCAGACTTTGTTCAAAACTATAACATCTTTCATCCACTTCAAACCTTCTGATAATTGTACATAAGAAAACCACTTCTCTCAATTTTAGTTTACAATCCCTTTGAGAAAATTCTAGTACATCACAGTATGTTAATCTTTTATGCCTAGTTATTGCTTGTCTACATCTTCTTGTGCTGGAAGAACCTAAAAATCTATTTATTCCATGCTCTAAGAACAGCTTGTGTAACGTAAGGATTTTTAAAATCTACACTCAGTTTAGTTTTATTATATCATGTGTATCTGTGCCGCCCAAATCTCAGATGATGCCCTTCTAACTCCGATAGTCTCTTATTTCTTAACAACTCTCACTCTTTCATCAAAACTAAATAGGCAGCAAAACATAATTTCAAATCTTATACTCCTACTCTTTTCTTTTTGCATCTTGTAGAAACTCTTATTTAATTCATAATTCCTTCCCCCACCATACAAGTATTTCTGCCATTGTTTAAATGGCACATCAATTGTCTGAAGGTATTGTCTGAAGCAAAAAATAACATTCTAGGTAAAACATTTATTTTAATCAAAATGGAAGCCTCTCCTCAGTGCAAAACACACAAAAGTCCACTTACAGTTTGTTCCTCATAGCCTGAGAGTCTTTCAGGTGTTTTTTTTTTTGCAAACTCCACGTGGGCTTTCATGTGTTTTGCACTGAGGAAAGGCTTCCCTCTCGTGCCTCTTCCATAAAGCCCAGATTGGTGGATGGCTGCAGTGATGGTTGTCCTTCTGGAACTCTGTCCCATCTCCACACAGGATCTTTGGAGCTCAGTCAGAGTGACCATGAGGTTCTTGGTCACTTCTCTTACTAAGGCCCTTCTTCCCTGATTGCTCAGTTTGACTGGGCGACCAGCTGTCGGAAGGGTCCTGGTTGCGCCAAATTTCTTCCATTTCAGAATTATGGAGGCCACTGTGCTCTTAGGAACCTTCAGTGTAGCAGAAATTTTACTGTAGCCTTCTTGAGCTTTGTGCCCTGCAGTAATCCTGTCTCTGAGCTCTGAAAGCAGTTTCTTTGACCTCGTGGCTTTTGCTCTGCTACAGTATGTATTGTCAGCTGTGACACCTTCTATAGAGAGGTGTCTGCCTTTCCAAATCATGTCCAATCAATTTAATTTACCACAGGTCAACTCCATTCAAGGTGTAGAAACATGTCAGCAACGATCAAGAGAAATGGGAGGCACTAGAGTTAAATTTCACGCTTGTTGCAAAGGGGCTGAATACTTATACCAATGTGATATTTCAGTTTTTTCTTTTTAATAAATTTACAGACGTTTCTAAAATTCTTTTTCACTTTGTCATTATGGAGTACTGAATGTAGATTAATGAGAAAAAAAACCTGGAATTTAACAACTGTAGAATCAGTCGGCAGCATAGCAAAATTGACAAAAGTGAAGGGGGTCTGAATATTTTCTGAATGCACTGTATCTTTTCTAACTTCATTCCATCTCTTACCTTAATTATTTTCAAATATCACAGCATTCATATTTTTTATAGTTTTGCCAAATATTTTATCTTAAAACCCATTTAACAGCATGCAAGTTTAATAAAGAAATAAACAACAATTATTCTTTTCTCTGACGCAGAATTCTAATAGGAATCTCTTTCAGAACAATTATGTCAATATTATCTATTTTCAATCTTGCGTTAAAATGTATAGTATAGTTTATTGAATAGCCCGAAGGCCTTTTCAAACAAAACAGAAAAGAAAAAGGGAAAAAGATAAAACAATTACAAAAATAGCAATCTAAAAATATATGATAGATGACATTAAAATTTTACAATATCAAATTTCAATAGCTAAGTTGCCAAGACTAGATAACCCAAATAGGATAGCTCCTCTCTAACTGAGCTCATCTTCCTTACAATCGATAAAATGTTTTTTGATATAACTGGCTCGTATTGCCGTCATTCTTTTAAGGTATCGAGTGATCGCTCTTACCAGGGGAGGAGAGTCAGCCCTCAACAGAAATGCTAATTTTTGGCTTATATTCCAGTGGGGAAATTTATTTATAATTGGGGACAGATATTGTTTTCTTACTTCTTGATAGAGACTACATTCAAATATTATATGCGCCGTGTCCTCCACGACGTTTACCCCACATATGCATATTCTTTTGTCATACGGGATTTTCCGATAGCGGCCAAATCTAACATTGGTATCTAGAAGTTCGAATCTAAACTTAACAAATAACTGTCTGTCCACTGATGGCATTTCTAAATGTAAATACTTTTCCAGAGTGAAAGTTGTTTTAACTGCTGTCAGCAGTTTAAGGGAATGATTAGTTGAAAGGGTTGCCATGTCCATTTGCCCATGTATATCTTTAATCTGTTGTTTAATTTGGTTCAGTGTGTCACACAACGGGAACCCTACGCCATATCGGTTCAATATTTCTGACAGCCGGGTTAGCCAGGAATACCTTTGAGGATTTGAAATCTGCTGTTCCTCTAGACATATTTTAGGGAGTCTGCTGGCATCCATCTGGGTCATTTTTAGCCAGTAGGCTACCGCCCTAGTGATTGTATAGGTGTACAGTGAGAAATGTCCCATTTCAGCTCTGACGGCTGGCGTTAAAATGATGATGCAGCCCTTCCTCATCTTTAAAAAAAAATGCCCCAAAATATCCCTGGGGAGATTCCTAATTCTGGCAAATCAGGATATTTTTCTATAAATCTTATCAGTTTCTGCCTCCATATGTCCCTTCTTCACATCCAAAACATTTACCCCAAAATGCTGCTCTCTACCATAACGTTTTCCTCTAGAGCATCAGGAGCAGCTCTAAAGAATTTTTTCTCTCTCCATTACAGTAAAGCCAGATTATCCAATTTATGTATTTTTGCATCCATTCTTTTTTGTTCCAAAACAACCCATTTTATTCTCCATCTGGTCAAATTCATTTCCCATCTGTTCAAAATATTTCTGAAGCACATACTGTGTAATTATTTTTTCTGCATGCTGGCCCTCCTTCAGCCTTCTTTTGCCATTTTTCCAGTAGCCATATCTAATCCAAAAATAACATCTCAAAGGCAAAAAGAAAGACAATCCACACTCTCTTTCTTTTCCTTATTAGTAGATCCTGGTTACTGCAGCAACAAGTCTCCATGGCAAGTAAACAACATAGTCTGATTCTTTACCTTATGCAAATTCAGCTAACCTCACGTGCTCTTTAAGGAAAAATAAACATTCCCACTACAACTAGACTCTTTAACTGGCTTAGTGCAAAATTATGCCAAAACACTTTCATCAAAGGTTAAAAGAAGAAAAAATAGAAAACAGAAAAATAAGAAAAAAGTCTGTCCCTCTTCCCGTTTAAAACTTTCTTACATCTTCTTTTAAACTTTTTGCAAATAGTTCTTAAATATTTAAATCAAAATCTCTTTCGTTTTGTTTTTCTAATCTAAAAAGAAGATTGAACTCACAACAAACAGTCTTATCTTTGCAACAGAGGAAATCACCCTTCATCTATAAATTAATTACTTCCCCAACTGATTAATTTCCTACCAGAAAGCACTCTGGTGCAGGGGTCACCAAACTTTTGGACCTCAGAGACCACTAAATTCATAATTTTAAATCTCATGGACCACTAATACGAATCCACTGCGCTGCTCACTGAAGTGCCTGGACTTCCAGTGACAGAATGGGGTCCTTAAGGCACTTAATTTGGCCATCTGTTTCTGCAACCTTAAATACTCAAAGAGCCATTTGGACCTGTTTCCCACAGAAAACAAAACATCTTTCTCTCTCATCTTTCTTTCTTTCTCATCTTTTTCTCTCTCTCATTTCTCTCTCTCCCCTCTCTGTCTGTCTCTCTCATCTTTTTTCTCTCTCTCTCATCTTTCTCTCTCATATGTCTCTCTCCCCCTCTCTGTCTGTCTCTCTCATCCTTCTCTCTCTCATCTCTCCCCCCTCTCTCTCTGTCTCTCTCTCTGTCTCTCTCTGTCACCAGTGGTGGGATTCAAGTAATTTAACAACTGGTTCTTTGCCCTAATGATTTCTTCCAACAACCAGTTTGCCATAACAACCAGTTCTCCCGAAGTGGTGCAAACTGCCTGAATCCCACCACTGTCTGTCACCCTGTCTCTGATCTCTCTCTCTCATTCTAATTCTCTGGTGCTCTCTGGGTCTCACGGGAGTTTCTTCAGCCTTTGTTGGTGCTGGACGCACCTCGGTCATTCGGGAAGATGCACAACCTGCTGTCCGCCCCAAGACACTCACCCGACCCAGCTGCAAGCGATGCTCCGCATTGTAATGTGCTCCAGGAGGAGAAGGGATGCCGTCTCCCCCATTGTGAGGCCCCTAAATTTAACTTTGCTGTAAGAGCAGTGGGCAGGCCACAGAGGCACCAACAGTAGCAGCGGAGAGAAATGGCCGGGTTGGGCCAGTGTCTCAAAGCTGAGAGGAAGTTGCACATCTCCAGAGAGACCGAGATACACGGAGCACCAACAAGGACTGAAAGAAACGCCTGCAAGACCCAGAGCTGCCTGGCCAGTCCCATATTCCAGAGTTCTAGTCACAAGACTGGCCATTGGTCATCCCGGAGCATACATACCCACACTGAGATTGTGATTCTATCTTCAAGCAATGGTGCTGTGGGAGCTGAGCTAGTTGCTGATCTGCTTCTAGGTGCTGTTTCTCATCTCTCAAGGTGATTGTTTTGGCTAGATACTTTGGACATCTCTTATTCCAAATCAAATCTCCCTGCCCAAGGCAGCCTGCAGAGAATGTTGTGAGAGACTGTGATAGTGTCTTATTCACTAAATAGCAGATGTCCACCTTACATCCTGGGAGGAGTCCAAAATTAGTAGACCAGCAATTGAAAAGGTTGCGTCCATCACATAGTTGCAATGCATCACCTTTTTTTAAAATTATTATTTGATTTATATGCCGCCCTTCTACGAAGACTCAGGGCGGCTTACAATGCATTAAGCAATAGCCTTCATACTTTTGTATATTTATACAAAGTCAGCTTATTGCCCCCACAATCTGGGTCCTCATTTTACCTACCTTAGAAAGGATGGAAGGCTGAGTCAACCTTGGTGAGATTTGAACTTGCAGTAATTGCAGGCAGCTGATGTTAATAACAGTGCTTTAGTCTGCTGCGCTACCAGGGCTCTTTTTGTCCTCAATGGAAGCAGAGAATGGCTGTTTCATTATCCATATTTATTTAGGGGCATGCGCCTTGTAGAGTCCTAGTAACGCATTGGAAATGATGGCTTTAGGCCGGATGTAAAAATGCAATTCTGTCATTTTCCAGATTCAAAGAAACACCATGATGAGGAGAAAGGAGAAGGTACGTACGCTTTTATAGCCAAGCATTTAATTTGGTGTGTAATTTAATATTACTCCTTTAACTAATTGGGACCTTATGGTTTAATCTGGTGTGGGGAGGGGGTAGGAAGGGAGGAAATGGAGAGGGAGGGAAAAGAGGGAGGGAGGAAGAAAATGGAGAGGAAGGGAGGAAGATCAATTGTTTGAACCTTTTTCTAGTTATATCCACCTGACCCACCAGAGTGGGCGGGGGGGGGGCGCAAGGCATTTATGGGTCCCCTCTCTTAAGGAGGTCCATTTAGTGTGACCAAGAAGAAAGGGCTTCTCTTTTTTTTTAATTACATTTTTTATTTTTATTTTTATTTTTAAACAAACAATTCACTATTAATCAATCAGTGTAACATCTAGGTACAAATTTTTTTGTGTCGTCATATTCAACATTTAGCATCATTTTCTTAGTACATATTTATCTTTCTTCTTACATTTAAATTTAATGTATTACGTGTTTTCCTCATGTTTCTTATTATTGCCCCCATATGTTGTAATACTCCGATTCTTCCTTCCCCTAATTGCTAATGTTAATTTCTGATTTCTGCACATTCTAATATTTTCTTAATTAGCTCTCCCTTTGTAGGAATTTTTTCTGCTTTCCAATTTTGTGCAAAGCATTGTTGCTGCCGTTATTACATGTATAATCAACTATGTATTTTCTTTACTGAATTTCTCCAGTAAGATACCCAACAGGAACAGCTTCGGTTTAAGATCAATGTGTTGCTATATCATTTTCTCTAGCCATATTCAAATTTTTGCCCAATAATTTCTCACTTCTGGACATGTCCACCACATGTGATAGTACGATCCCGATGTCTGGTGGCATTTCCAACATTTAGCTAATTTATCATTGAACATTTTTGCCAATCTTTCCAGTGACATGTGCCACCTATAAAACATTTTATACAAGTTCTCTTTATATGCTGTAGCCATTGTTAATTTGTAATTTCTTTCCCATAATTGCTGCCATTTATCTAATTCTATTGTATATCCAAAAATTTTTTGCCCATGCTATCATTGTTTCTTTTACTTGTTGTTCTTCTAATTTAACTCCAAGTAAATAACTATAGAATTTTAAAATCATTTTCTCATCTGTTCCTGTGAGTATCTCATCCAATTCTGTCATCTCCAAGTAAAAACCATATAACTTTGCATCTTTTTCATATCTCGATTGTATTTGCAGTTGTGTATACTACTCCATAACAATCGCTTGTTCTACTAGTTCTTGTTTCATTTTCATTTCCCCCTTTTATGATAAAATATCTTATATCTTTATAGCTCAGCTGAGAGCGGCCATCTTGGACATGCACAGAGATAATTTGCCTTCTGCCGCCAATAGCCTCCCACCGGCCAGTTCGCTCGCACAGAGAGGGCCTCCTCAGGGTGCCGTCGGCCAGACAATGTCGGCTGGCGACCCCCAGGGGGAGAGCCTTCTCTGTGGCGGCACCTGCCCTCTGGAACGACCTACCCCCAGAGATACACACGATACCAGACCTCTGGACTTTTCGTTGGGCCCTGAAAACACATCTATTTCATCTAGCCGGGCTGGCTTGATCCCATCCTTTCGGTTTTAATTTGAAATTGGTTTTAACTGGGTTGTTTTAAATTGAGGGCCGAAATTATTTAATGTCTTTTAAACTGCTTTTAAATTTTATATGTTATGTTTTATCTCGGCTGTTCACTGCCCTGAATCCTGTTGGAGAAGGGCGGTATAAAAATCAAATCAAATAAATAAATAAATAAATATATATATATATAAAAGCGAAAACCACTCACGCATTAATCATGAAATCTCCAGAACCGTAATGCCTACAAACTTGAAATTTGCCACGTATGTTCCTCTTGGCTTCTAGGTGCTCACCAGGAAAGGATTTTTCGAAATGACCATCAGAGCATTTCCTATGTTATTATAACACGCTCTGATGCTAATTAGTTAGACCTTCTACTTCCCCTCCCAACTTGAAAATAACTCTGGAGAGAACGGGATACCATAGGACAGGCTTCTGTGGGGCAAGCCTCATGGAGAGAAGGAGCTAGAAAGCCTGAGGGAGAGAAGGGGATAGGATAGGAGATGATAGAAGGGGAGAGGACAGGAGAGGCTTCTGTGGGGCAAGCCTGAGGGAGAGAAGGGGAGAGGAGAGGATTTATGGGGCCAGCCTGAGGGAGAGAAGGGGTGAGGAGAGGATCTATGGGGCCAACCTGAGGGAGAGAAGGGGACAGGGTCTATGGGGCCAGCCTGAGGGAGAGTTGCAATGCATCACCTTGTCCTCAATGCAAGCAGAGAATGGCTGTTTCATTATCCATATTTATTTAGGGGCATGTGCCTTGTAGAGTCCTAGTAACGCATTGGAAATGATGGCTTTAGGCCGGATGTAAAAATGCAATTCTGTCATTTTCCAGATTCAAAGAAACACCATGATGAGGAGAAAGGAGAAGGTACGTACGCTTTTATAGCCAAGCATTTAATTTGGTGTGTAATTTAATATTACTCCTTTAACTAATTGGGACCTTATGGTTTAATCTGGTGTGCTCTTCTTGTGCTCTTCTGCTCTTCCAACAGAAATCAGATTTGCATTCTCCTTGCAATTTAAGAAAGTTTTAAAAACGCTGCTATTCCAAACAGGGTTTCAGGGAGCTGTTAAGTATCTGTCATGATGGAACACATGAAGAACAGATATTATTCATGTTTCTTATACTTTTAGGTTGAATATGATTTTATACCTAAACATTTTGTATTTTTGTACCATGTTGTATTTGTAAATTACAATGAGTGATGTAGCGTTATAGAGGGAGGGAGGGAGAGAGGAAAGGAAGGAGGGAGGGAGGAAGAAGGAAGGGAGGGGAGGAGGAAGGGGAGGGGGTAGGAAGGGAGGAAATGGAGAGGGAGGGAAAAGAGGGAGGGAGGAAGAAAATGGAGAGGAAGGGAGGAAGATCAATTGTTTGAACCTTTTTCTAGTTATATCCACCTGACCCACCAGAGTGGGCGGGGGCGGGGGCGCAAGGCATTTATGGGTCCCCTCTCTTAAGGAGGTCCATTTAGTGGGACCAAGAAGAAAGGGCTTCTCTTTTTTTTTAATTACATTTTTTATTTTTATTTTTATTTTTAAACAAACAATTCACTATTAATCAATCAGTGTAACATCTAGGTACAAATTTTTTTGTGTTGTCATATTCAACATTTAGCATCATTTTCTTAGTACATATTTATCTTTCTTCTTACATTTAAATTTAATGTATTACATGTTTTCCTCATGTTTCTTATTATTGCCCCCATATGTTGTAATACTCCGATTCTTCCTTCCCCTAATTGCTAATGTTAATTTCTGATTTCTGCACATTCTAATATTTTCTTAATTAGCTCTCCCTTTGTAGGAATTTTTTCTGCTTTCCAATTTTGTGCAAAGCATTGTTGCTGCCGTTATTACATGTATAATCAACTATGTATTTTCTTTACTGAATTTCTCCGGTAAGATACCCAACAGGAACAGCTTCGGTTTAAGATCAATGTGTTGCTATATCATTTTCTCTAGCCATATTCAAATTTTTGCCCAATAATTTCTCACTTCTGGACATGTCCACCACATGTGATAGTACGATCCCGATGTCTGGTGGCATTTCCAACATTTAGCTAATTTATCATTGAACATTTTTGCCAATCTTTCCAGTGACATGTGCCACCTATAAAACATTTTATACAAGTTCTCTTTATATGCTGTAGCCATTGTTAATTTGTAATTTCTTTCCCATAATTGCTGCCATTTATCTAATTGGATTGTATATCCAAAATTTTTTTGCCCATGCTATCATTGTTTCTTTTACTTGTTGTTCTTCTAATTTAACTCCAAGTAAATAACTATAGAATTTTAAAATCATTTTCTCATCTGTTCCTGTGAGTATCTCATCCAATTCTGTCATCTCCAAGTAAAAACCATATAACTTTGCATCTTTTTCATATCTCGATTGTATTTGCAGTTGTGTATACTACTCCATAACAATCGCTTGTTCTACTAGTTCTTGTTTCATTTTCATTTCCCCCTTTTATGATAAAATATCTTATATCTTTATAGCTCAGCTGAGAGCGGCCATCTTGGACATGCACAGAGATAATTTGCCTTCTGCCGCCAATAGCGTCCCACCGGCCAGTTCGCTCGCACAGAGAGGGCCTCCTCAGGGTGCCGTCGGCCAGACAATGTCGGCTGGCGACCCCCAGGGGGAGAGCCTTCTCTGTGGCGGCACCTGCCCTCTGGAACGACCTACCCCCAGAGATACACACGATACCACACATCTGGACTTTTCGTTGGGCCCTGAAAACACATCTATTTCATCTAGCCGGGCTGGCTTGATCCCATCCTTTCGGTTTTAATTTGAAATTGGTTTTAACTGGGTTGTTTTAAATTGAGGGCCGAAATTATTTAATGTCTTTTAAACTGCTTTTAAATTTTATATGTTATGTTTTATCTCGGCTGTTCACTGCCCTGAATCCTGTTGGAGAAGGGCGGTATAAAAATCAAATCAAATAAATAAATAAATAAATAAATATATATATAAAAGCAAAAACCACTCATGCATTAATCATGAAATCTCCAGAACCGTAATGCCTACAAACTTGAAATTTGCCACGTATGTTCCTCTTGGCTTCTAGGTGCTCACCAGGAAAGGATTTTTCGAAATGACCATCAGAGCATTTCCTATGTTATTATAACACGCTCTGATGCTAATTAGTTAGACCTTCTACTTCCCCTCCCAACTTGAAAATAACTCTGGAGAGAACGGGATACCATAGGACAGGCTTCTGTGGGGCAAGCCTCATGGAGAGAAGGAGCTAGAAAGCCTGAGGGAGAGAAGGGGATAGGATAGGAGACGATAGAAGGGGAGAGGACAGGAGAGGCTTCTGTGGGGCAAGCCTGAGGGAGAGAAGGGGAGAGGAGAGGATTTATGGGGCCAGCCTGAGGGAGAGAAGGGGTGAGGAGAGGATCTATGGGGCCAACCTGAGGGAGAGAAGGGGACAGGGTCTATGGGGCCAGCCTGAGGGAGAGTTGCAATGCATCACCTTGTCCTCAATGCAAGCAGAGAATGGCTGTTTCATTATCCATATTTATTTAGGGGCATGCGCCTTGTAGAGTCCTAGTAACGCATTGGAAATGATGGCTTTAGGCCGGATGTAAAAATGCAATTCTGTCATTTTCCAGATTCAAAGAAAGACCATGATGAGGAGAAAGGAGAAGGTACGTACGCTTTTATAGCCAAGCATTTAATTTGGTGTGTAATTTAATATTACTCCTTTAACTAATTGGGACCTTATGGTTTAATCTGGTGTGCTCTTCTTGTGCTCTTCTGCTCTTCCAACAGAAATCAGATTTGCATTCTCCTTGCAATTTAAGAAAGTTTTAAAAACGCTGCTATTCCAAACAGGGTTTCAGGGAGCTGTTAAGTATCTGTCATGATGGAACACATGAAGAACAGATATTATTCATGTTTCTTATACTTTTAGGTTGAATATGATTTTATACCTAAACATTTTGTATTTTTGTACCATGTTGTATTTGTAAATTACAATGAGTGATGTAGCGTTATAGAGGGAGGGAGGAAGAGAGGAAAGGAAGGAGGGAGGGAGGAAGAAGGAAGGGAGGGGAGGAGGTAGGGGAGGGGGTAGGAAGGGAGGAAATGGAGAGGGAGGGAAAAGAGGGAGGGAGGAAGAAAATGGAGAGGAAGGGAGGAAGATCAATTGTTTGAACCTTTTTCTAGTTATATCCACCTGACCCACCAGAGTGGGCGGGGGGGGGGGCGCAAGGCATTTATGGGTCCCCTCTCTTAAGGAGGTCCATTTAGTGGGACCAAGAAGAAAGGGCTTCTCTTTTTTTTTAATTACATTTTTTATTTTTATTTTTATTTTTAAACAAACAATTCACTATTAATCAATCAGTGTAACATCTAGGTACAAATTTTTTTGTGTCGTCATATTCAACATTTAGCATCATTTTCTTAGTACATATTTATCTTTCTTCTTACATTTAAATTTAATGTATTACATGTTTTCCTCATGTTTCTTATTATTGCCCCCATATGTTGTAATACTCCGATTCTTCCTTCCCCTAATTGCTAATGTTAATTTCTGATTTCTGCACATTCTAATATTTTCTTAATTAGCTCTCCCTTTGTAGGAATTTTTTCTGCTTTCCAATTTTGTGCAAAGCATTGTTGCTGCCGTTATTACATGTATAATCAACTATGTATTTTCTTTACTGAATTTCTCCGGTAAGATACCCAACAGGAACAGCTTCGGTTTAAGATCAATGTGTTGCTATATCATTTTCTCTAGCCATATTCAAATTTTTGCCCAATAATTTCTCACTTCTGGACATGTCCACCACATGTGATAGTACGATCCCGATGTCTGGTGGCATTTCCAACATTTAGCTAATTTATCATTGAACAGTTTTGCCAATCTTTCCAGTGACATGTGCCACCTATAAAACATTTTATACAAGTTCTCTTTATATGCTGTAGCCATTGTTAATTTGTAATTTCTTTCCCATAATTGCTGCCATTTATCTAATTCTATTGTATATCCAAAAATTTTTTGCCCATGCTATCATTGTTTCTTTTACTTGTTGTTCTTCTAATTTAACTCCAAGTAAATAACTATAGAATTTTAAAATCATTTTCTCATCTGTTCCTGTGAGCATCTCATCCAATTCTGTCATCTCCAAGTAAAAACCATATAACTTTGCATCTTTTTCATATCTCGATTGTATTTGCAGTTGTGTATACTACTCCATAACAATCGCTTGTTCTACTAGTTCTTGTTTCATTTTCATTTCCCCCTTTTATGATAAAATATCTTATATCTTTATAGCTCAGCTGAGAGCGGCCATCTTGGACATGCACAGAGATAATTTGCCTTCTGCCACCAATAGCCTCCCACCGGCCAGTTCGCTCGCACAGAGAGGGCCTCCTCAGGGTGCCGTCGGCCAGACAATGTCGGCTGGCGACCCCCAGGGGGAGAGCCTTCTCTGTGGCGGCACCTGCCCTCTGGAACGACCTACCCCCAGAAATACACACGATACCAGACCTCTGGACTTTTCGTTGGGCCCTGAAAACACATCTATTTCATCTAGCCGGGCTGGCTTGATCCCATCCTTTCGGTTTTAATTTGAAATTGGTTTTAACTGGGTTGTTTTAAATTGAGGGCCGAAATTATTTAATGTCTTTTAAACTGCTTTTAAATTTTATATGTTATGTTTTATCTCGGCTGTTCACCGCCCTGAATCCTGTTGGAGAAGGGCAGTATAAAAATCAAATCAAATCAATAAATCAATAAATATCTATATATATATCTTAAGTCCTAGCTACGCATGCGCGAGATGGCGGTTCCCCGAAGTGCCGGCTGAGATCGGGATGAAAGAGTTGCGACAGGAAACCGGGGAAGGCCGTTTTTCCACTCATCGGCCCCCTGCCCGATATGCTGAGCCTTTGACAGTTCAAATGAGCCCTCTCCGACAGAAGACGTCTCTCGGATGACCCAGGGATGGCGATGAGAGGATTGCATCAGCTGGGCGCCGCTGGGAGGGCGGTGTCGGCCCCTGCAATCGCGCTGAGGCCGTTGGAGTTTTACCGGCCGGATCGGCGCTATTAAATGCTGCAGACACTTGGCGATTTTACATCTAATCGGGGGAGGCTACAGGCGCTTTGGCTGCTGTAAGATCGTTAGCCCCCCCCCGATGAATCTGCTGAGATTAAGGCAGCGGGTACTGTGGCAGCCTTGTTGATGGCGGTGAATGTCACACTGGAGATGAGAGGCCGGGAAGATCTGGGCTGTAACTGCCCAGCGAGGACAGGCTATGACTGTGGGGCGGGTGGTCCTGAAGAAGATCTGGGGGGCGGGGAGTTGGCCGGAGGGGAAGTGATAATTATCCATCCATCTTGCTCTTCCCTGGGGTCTCTCCCTCCCCCATTTTTTGTCGCCCCCCCCCAGACTGTTGCCTGCCTCGTTCGGCCTGTTTGTTTTACTCATCTTCAGTTGTCTGTTGGGACTTTTGTCATCTCCCCTCTTTGAACTGCTATCTGACTCCTGGCTCCTCTCACACCGTAAAGTGTTACATCTTATCTTTTCACGTCTATTACTGCCTTATTGGTCTCGTTGTATTGGACAGAGTTATGGAGTTACAGACTGATGAACTATGAATCCTGGTGGACTGCTGCTGCATCATGTTCCTAGGAACTGCTCTATGACTCCGCCGGTGGATGTTCCCCACCTAGTCACCGTGAGAGGGTGGCTGCGGCTGATTCCGCGGGACTCATTCTTTGCAGCCTTGGATTCTCCACCGCCGTGAGAGAGCGGTGGTTATGCCGGCCTGGGTTGACTCCTATTTTACCATCATTATCCCTCTTGTTTATTATCTCGGTTTCCTGTTGCTATTTTCCATCCACTTCTCATATTTATTATGGCTTACACTTCGGCGACCCTCCTTGCTCTGCGAGATGCCCCCCTCTCGCAGGCATGGTCTTCGAATTTATCGAAGGCCTACCTCAAGGACGGGTTTTGGAACCCCGAGTGGTGGCATGCTTCTAAGCGTGGTTTGAGGGGTTTTTTAATTAATGTTTTTAATCAAATTTTAAGGGGACCCGGGAGGCGGGTGGTAAGGGTTGAGCCGAGGGCGGCTCCTACGGTTCAGCAATTGGGCCCGTCGGATGGTTGTGGGGGGAGGGAGGGAGGAGGAGGGAACAAAGAGGCTCAGCGGAGAGAGGGTCTTCCAATCCTTGTGACAGTTGGGAGACGCAGAGGTCGGGAGAGGGTGGGGCTAGGAGGGCGCCGCCGCTTCGTTCAAGTGGTGGTGCCCTCCTGCCCCCTCAGCTCATCCTGCTCCCCCGACGGCGACAGAGTGCGGAGCCCTGGACTCCGACTGGTGTACTTAAATGCCAGGTCCATGGTGAACAAGACACTCCTCGTCCGAGATCTTATAGACGAGGAGGACACGGACCTGGCTTGTATCACTGAGACCTGGCTGGGGTCGGAGGGCGGTGTCCCTCTCGTGGATTTATGTCCCCCAGGTTTCCGGATACTACACCAGCCACGGCTCCAGGGGAGGGGCGGAGGAGTGGCGGTAGTTATTAAGGAAAGTCTTAGGCCTAGGGAGGTCACTGTTCCTCAGGTTGGCGGGTGTGAATCCCTCCTTTTGAAATGGGACCCTGGAGTTCAGTCTGGGCTATTGATCACGTACCTCTCCCCCAGCTGCGTGGCCTCAGCCCTGCCCGCACTACTAGATGTCTTAGCCAAATTGACGGTGGAACTCCCCAACCTTTTGGTTGTGGGAGATTTCAATCTGCCATCGGCCGGTGAGTCATCTGAGTTGGTGCGGGAGTTCATGACCTCCATGACGGCCATGGACCTGACTCAGATTGTACAGGGCCCAACTCATATTGGAGGACACACACTCGACCTTATTTTTCTCTCTGGACAGTGGATAAATGATCGTGGGGAGGGGACTCTATCTATTGACCCTCTGTCATGGACCGATCATTCCCTCCTTAGACTTGACTTTTCCTCCGCCATCCCCCGTCGCAGGGGTGTGGAACCAGTAAGATGGTTCCGCCCCAGGTGCCTGATGGAACCCGAAAGTTTCCTGATGGAGCTTGGGTCATTTCCCGCCTCCTTAGCCCACGATTCATCTGAGACCCTTGTTGCGGCCTGGGAACAGGCTGCGGTGGGGGCCCTGGATCGAATCGTGCCTTTGCGGCCTCTGATCCGACGCAGATCCTGGGCGGCTCCTTGGTTTACCGCGGAGCTCAGGGAAATGAAGCATCGGAAAAGACGCCTGGAGGGTGGTTGGAGATCCTTCCGATCCGAGTCCAACTGAACACAACTAAGAACCCATATTAGGTCTTATCTTGTGGCGATGGAAGTAGCGAACATAACTATTTCGCCACTCTCATTGCATCTGCAGAAAATCGCCCAGCAGCCCTGTTTAGAGTGACCCGCTCCCTCCTTAATCAGGGAGCGAGGGAGGACCCCTTACAGGGCTGTGCTGAGGACTTTGCACAGTTTCTGCAAGATAAAATCACTCAGATTCGGACCGGGTTGGACTCCGACTGGACAGAGTCCGTTGAGGTGACAGGGCCTAGTCTCGGTGGAGACATCTGGGTTGAGTTTGAGCCTGTGTCATTGGATGACGTGGACAGGATTATGGGTAGGCTGGGGTCTTCCACATGTTTACTGGACCCTTGTCCCTCCTGGCTTGTTTCGGCAGCCAGGGAGGTGACTGAAGACTGGATCCAGGCTATTGTCAACACTTCACTAAAGGAAGGGGTCTTTCCCGCTGCGCTTAAAGAGGCGGTGGTTCGACCCCTCCTTAAGAAGCCTAACCTGGATCCTGATGTACTTAACAACTACCGTCCAGTCTCCAACCTTCGCTTTTTAGCTTTTTTGTTGAGTCCATGGTGGCACAGCAATTCCCTCAATTCCTGGAGGAAACTGACTACCTGGATCCTTACCAATCTGGTTTCAGGCATAGCCACAGCACGGAAACGGCATTGGTCGCCCTAGTAAATGATCTCTGGCGGGCCAGGGATGGGGGTTGTTCCTCCATCCTGGTCCTTCTTGACCTCTCAGCGGCATTCGATACCATCGACCATGGTATCCTGCTGCAGCGGCTCACGGGGATAGGGTTAGGAGGCACTGTTTTACAGTGGTTCTCCTCCTATCTCTCGGGCCGTCTGCAGTCTGTTTGGGCGGAGGGTCAGGGATCCTCCCAGAGGCCTCTCACTTGTGGGGTGCCTCAGGGCTCGATTCTCTCTCCTCTGCTCTTTAATATCTATATGAAACCGCTGGGTGAGATCATCCGTGGTTTTGGGGTGAGGTATCATCAATATGCTGATGATACCCAGCTTTACATCTCCACCCCTGACCACCCTAGGGATGCCCTTTCCGTGATGTCCCACTGCCTGGAAGTGGTGCGGGTTTGGATGGGGAGGAACAGGCTTAGACTCAACCCTTCCAAGACTGAGTGGCTGTGGATGCCGGCATCCCAGGATCTGAAGGTTCCATCCTTAATGATCGGAGGTGAAACCCTTGCTCCCTCCGACAGGGTCCGCAACTTGGGTGTCCTCCTGGATTCTCGGCTGTCTTTAGATGACCATCTGACAGCCCTAACCAGGGGGGCCTTCGCACAGGTCCGTCTTGTGCGCCAGTTGTGCCCGTTCCTAGACCGGGATGCCCTCACCACGGTCACTCACGCCCTTGTTACCTCTAGGTTGGACTACTGTAACACCCTCTACATGGGGCTGCCCTTGGGATGTGTCCGGAGGCTTCAGCTAGTCCAAAATGCAGCCGCGCAGGTAGTTACGGGGGCGTCTAGATACTCCCGTGTAACACCTCTCCTGCGTGAGCTGCACTGGCTACCGGTGGCACTCCGGATATGTTTCAAGGTGCTGGTGCTCACCTATAAAGCCCTTCATGGCTTAGGCCCGGGGTACTTGCAGGACCATCTCCAGCCGTTCTCCCATCGTCCTGTGTGCTCTCACAGAGTCGGCCGTTGGCCAAACAATGTCGGCTAACGACCCCCAGGGGGAGGGCGTTCTCTGTGGGAGCCCCGACCCTCTGGAATGGATTTCCCACTGAGCTCAGGACAGCCCCCGACCTTCTTTCCTTCCGTCGCGAGCTGAAGACGTGGCTCTTCCGCCAATTAAACTGATCCGTTTGGGGGTACACTGGTATAATTTTAAATCGTTTTTTAATTGGGTTACTGATTTTAATTTGGTATTGTATTGTGATTTCTATTGAACTTGTCATTTTGTAAGCCGCCTTGAGTCCCTAGGGAGAAAGGCGGCATATAAATTGCAATAAATAAATAAATAAATAAATAAATAAATAAATAAATAAATAAATAAATAAATAAATATATAAAAGCGAAAACCACTCACGCATTAATCATGAAATCTCCAGAACCGTAAAGCCTACAAACTTGAAATTTGCCACGTATGTTCCTCTTGGCTTCTAGGTGCTCAGTAGGAAAGGATTTTTCAAAATGACCATCAGAGCATTAGTATTTCCTATGTTATCATAACACGCTCTGATGCTAATTAGTTAGACCTTCTACTTCCCCTCCCAACTTGAAAATAACTCTGGAGAGAACGGGATACCATAGGACAGGCTTCTGTGGGGCAAGCCTCATGGAGAGAAGGAGCTAGAAAGCCTGAGGGAGAGAAGGGGATAGGATAGGAGACGATAGAAGGGGAGAGGACAGGAGAGGCTTCTGTGGGGCCAGCCTGAGGGAGAGAAGGGGAGAGGAGAGGATTTATGGGGCCAGCCTGAGGGAGAGAAGGGGAGAGGATAAGAGAGGCTTCTGTGGGGCAAGCCTGAGGGAGAGAAGGGGAGAGAGTCTATGGGCCCAGCCTGAGGGAGAGTTGCAATGCATCACCTTGTCCTCAATGCAAGCAGAGAATGGCTGTTTCATTATCCATATTTATTTAGGGGCATGCGCCTTGTAGAGTCCTAGTAACCCATTGGAAATGATGGCTTTAGGCCGGATGTAAAAATGCAATTCTGTAATTTTCCAGATTCAAAGAAACACCATGATGAGGAGAAAGAAGGTACGTACGCTTTTATAGCCAAGCATTTAATTTGGTGTGTAATTTAATATTACTCCTTTAACTAATTGAGACCTTATGGTTTAATCTGGTGTGCTCTTCTTGTGCTCTTCTGCTCTTCCAATAGAAATCAGATTTGCATTCTCCTTGCAATTTAAGAAAGTTTTAAAAACGCTGCTATTCCAAACAGGGTTTCAGGGAGCTGTTAAGTATCTGGCATGATGGAACACATGAAGAACAGATACTATTCATGTTTCTTTTACTTTTAGGTTGAATGTGATTTTATACCTAAACATTTTGTATTTTTGTACCATGTTGTATTTGTAAATTACAATGAGTGATGTAGCGTTATAGAGGGAGGGAGGGAGAGAGGAAGGAAGGAAGGAGGGAGGGAGGGAGGGAGGAATGAAGAAGGAAGGGTGCGGAGGAGGAAAGAAGGAAATGGAGAGGAAGGGAGGTAGGTTAGTTGTTTGAGCCTTTTCCCAGTTACATCCACCTGACCCACCGGAGCGGGCAGGGGGGGCGCAAGCCATTTATGGGTCCCCTCTCTTAAGGAGGTCCATCTAGTGGGACCAAGAAGAAAGGCCTTCTCCATGGTGGCTTCTTCCCTGTGGACCATTATCCCTGTAGAAATAAGATTGGCTCCCACCTTGACATACTTTCAATTCCTGGTTGTATGTTATTTTCCTTGCTTTGTTTCCCCTTTTTTTTGATCTAGTTCTTGTTTACGTCTTTCATTTTCCCAGTTTTCCTCTCCCTTCAGGTCTATCTCAGGTTACTGAATTCAGATAATCCAAATACTTACAACAACATAGCTGTTTTTGCTCTTCTATTTCTTGTTTCTTTTCTGTGTATATAATAATGTTGGCTACCTCGAAAGGGATTAGCATGTGAGGTGCTCATGTAGGAATATTTTGAATCAAGGATAGAAAACCCCCTGGAAACTCCAACACCAGCTCACTGTAATACTTAAACTGGATGTAAACAAGCATTTTGCCTTCTCATAGGCTCAAAGAAAGAAGCTCATGAAAAGAAAAAACATGAACGACATGAAGAAGGTATGTAAGCATTTGCAGCTCACCTTCTATCCTACGCAGAATACTATTAACAACAGTTTAGTTCTGATGGGGTCACATTGGCACAGCTGTTAAAGATGTCAGTTGCAAAGCCAACAGCCTGGGTTCGAGACCCAAGCATCGCACGTTGGGGTGAGCTCTCGTTAGTCGCTGCAGCTCCTGCCCACCTAGCAGTTTGAAAGCAGACAAATGCGAGTAGATAAATAAGTACCACTATTGGTGGGAAGGTAACAGAGTCCTGTGCACCTCGGCATATAGTCATGCTGGCCACATGACCACGGAAAGGGTCTTTGGACAATGCTGGCTCCCTTAGCTAAGAAACGGAGATGAGCACCACACCTAGAGAGGGAAAGTCTGGAGAGGGAGAAACCTTGACCTTTAGATGGGCTTTCTGTTCAACTGGGAGCCCCCTTTTCATAGAATGGGGTGAACAATTGATGCTTTGAAAATGTGGTGTTGGAGAAGACTCTTGAGAGTCCCTTGGACTGCAAGGAGATCCAATCAGTCGATCCTAAAAGAAGTCAACCCTGAGTGTCCTTTGGAAGGCCAGATCCTGAAGCAGAAGCTCAAATACTTTGGCCACCAAATGAGAAGAAAGGGCTCCTTGGAAAGGACCCTGATGTTGGGAAGACCAAAGAGGAAGGGGATGGCAGAGGATGAGGTGGTTAGATAGGGTCATTGATGCAATGGACCCACATTTGGACAAACTCCAGGAGACAGTGGAGGATAGGGGTGTGTGTGTGTGTGTGTGTGTGTGTGTGTGTGTGTGTGTGTGACTTGCTGTGGTCCATGGGGATGGAAAGTGTCAGGCACAACTTAGTGACTGAACAGCAAAGGCTGCTTTAGTCTGGTAAAATTCCTGCCTATAGGCGAGTAGCAATAAGCATGCCACTCATTGTGCAATGAGCACATAAGGAAGGTTGCAGCTCACAGTGGCCTGTTGTAAGTTTTATCAGACCATTGTTTGCAAGATGCAAACGAAGACCATTGGCCTTAGTAGATAACAGAAGGCCAGGAAGAAACCTGAGATCTCTTACATTACAGGTAGTCCTCGACTTACAACAGCTCATTCAGCGACTGTTTCAATGGCGCTGCAAAAAGTGACATAGGACCATTTTTCACACTTACGACCCTTGCAGCATCCCTATGGTCACGTGATCAAAATTCAGATGCTTGGCAACGGAGTCATATTTATGACCGTTGCGGTGTCCAGCAGTCACGCGATCCCCTTTTACGACCTTCTGGCAAGTAAAGTCAATGAGGAAACCAGATTCCTTTAACAACCAGATTGCTAACTTAACAACTAGAGCGATTCATTTAACAGCTGTGACAAGAAAGGTCATAAAACAGGGCAACATTCACGTAACAACTGTCTCACTTGGCGACAGAAATTCTGGACTCAATTGTAGTCGTAAGTGAAGGACTACTTGTACATTTATATTTTCTGTATTCATTTCTCCTAATGTTTCTAGCTGCATGTGGCTTATTTTGATTCGGTTTCTGCATTTTTTATAATTTTGTTCATTCTGAAAGGGATGACTTGCACGAGGGGTCTCCCTGTTGGGTGGAATATCCGCTGGAAACCAATCCACCTCTAAACTCTCAGCAAGATGAAAAGAATCCAAACCTGGATTGGATCCCGCATCAGCTTCTATGTTATGCAATTGGAGAACGGGTTTTCACCAATTACCATTTCTTTGGGGCCAATGGTTTTTTTAAAGATATTAGTAATGAAGACTTTAAAACTGAATGTAAAACAAAATTCTCTCATTTTTGTAGGCCCAAAGAAACCTCATGAAGCAAAGAAACATCGACCACCACCAAGTACGTAAGCTCTAGCAGGCCAGCCAAGATGATATGCAAGCCACAAGATGGGCGACATATACACTGAATAAGTGTTAAATAAAATAGTCTTATTGGTGTAGCATACAATGTAAGAGTACTGAGTATCAGGAGGGAGCTGCTGGGAAGCAGTTCTTGGTGAACGGGATAAATATTGTGGATCTTTTAGAGAAAGATGAGAATTCCTACAGAAAAGCAAGTTAAAAAATTCTAACAATCACATCAACGTTCAGGTCCAATGGGTTTCTTTGCCCCTCCCCCCCAACTCTAGAGAAATTCCATCTTTGGTCTTTAAAGAGTTTGCGAGGCGTGAGAAACGTTGGTCCTCCTGGATTCCGAGTTTGTGCTCCTTCCATCCTAGGACAGGGGAAGTTTGGCCAGGAGAGTCTTTCTACAGATGTGCCAGGCGCATCTGTTCCAGGACCATACTCAAGTTGTCACTGATGCCTTGTTTGCCTTCCAATTGGACTACTCTAGTGTGATTTACATGAGGCTGCCCTGGAATTTACAGAATAACAGAGTTGGAAGGAACCTTGGAGGTCTTCTTGGCCAACCTCCCTGGCCAAGCAGGAGACCCTAGACCATTCCAGACAAGTGGCTGTCCAATCTCTTCTTAAAAACCTTCAATATTGGAGCAACCACAACTTCCAGCCAAGCCATTCCACTGATTAATTGTTCTCACTGTGAGAAAACTCCTCCTTAGTTCCAGGTTGCTTCTCTCCTTGATTACTTTCCATCCATTGCTTCTTGTCCTGCCCTCAAATGCTTTGGAGAATAGTTTGATCTCCTCGTCTTTGTGGCAGCCCCTCAGATATTGGATATTGCTATCATGTCACACCTACTCCTTCTCTTTGTTAAACTAGATATGCCCAATTCCTGCAACCGTTCTTCATTTGTTTTGGCCTCCAGTCCCCTAGTCGTCTTTGTGGCTCTTCTCTGCACCCTTTCTAGAGTCTCAACATCTTTTAAAAACCGTGAAGGCCAAAACTGGATGCAACATTCCAAGCATGGCCTTACCAAGCATTACAAAGTGTTACTAACGCTTATGTGGGGCACAATGGCCCAGGGGTTAAAAAGGCTGCGCTTGTCAGCTGGAAAGCTGAGAGTCTCGGTTTGAAACCTGAGCGCAGTGCAATGGGGAGAGCTCCTATTCCTTGACCTGACTGCTGCCCACCTAGCAGGTTGAAAGCATGCAAATTTGAGAGATTAATAGGTACCACTTCAGTGGGAAGGTAACAGCGTCCCCTGCACCTCTGGCGTATAGCCTTGCTGGCCACCTGGCCACAGAAAATGACAACATTGGTTCCCTTGGCCAAGAAACGGAGATGAGCATCGCTCCCTCGAGTTGGACACGACTGGACAGGGGAAAGCTTTAACTTTTTTTTAAACCAACACTTCAGGTGATCTTGATTCGATCCCTCTGTTACTTTTACAGCTGCGTTGGAAAACTTGTTATGCTACAGCTGATCCAGAATGTAGCGTTGCAGGCTGTACTGGATGTATCATAGTGTGTTCATGTGTCTCCCTCACTTCACAAGTTGTGCTAGTTGCCAGTTGGCTTCTGGGTGTAATTCACGATGCTGGTTATCTCCTCACGGCCTGCGTCCGAACAGCCGCTGGAAATTCAACATCTCCCTATGTTTCAGCCTGCCTGGATGCTCTGGGTCTTGTCAACTAAGCAGGGTCATCCATATTGCTGGCACTTTATTGATGCTTCACGTGTTTCTGAAAATCTGGCCTTGGGGGGTAGGATGTCCAGATGAATATTTCTGGGTTTTCTCCCCTTTTTTGGCTTTCTCGGTTATGGTTTCCCAAAGGTGATTTTCCAAAAGGCAACTGGACTTTCTTGGTTTTTGGAAACCAAGGCTGGAGGAAACCAAAGAAGCTTCTTAGATGAGAAGCAAAACTTTAAAAAAACCAAGAAAATCCAGTTGCCTTTGGGAAAAGCATCTTTGGGACAACCATGACCTGGATTAGAGAGAATCTCCAGAGAGATTCATTATGGATTGTTCTTCTGGTCAACCTTGTCTTCTTTTCTCTGATATACATCACTTCTCAGTGTTATTCCTTGTAAGCCACTGAGAGTTTCCAGAGTGAGCAGCCTTGAACCCTAAATGAAACATATTCTCTCATGCTTTAATTCCAGTTCCTGGTGAAGAAGAGATAGTGAAAGAAAAGAAAAAAGAAAAATCACACAAAGGTTTGTAAGCTTTTGTAACAGCCAGTCATTTTAGCCAGAATGCTATTACTGCAACTGTTTCGGATCTTATGGTTTAAACCAGAATATTTAATTGTTTGTTTGTTTGTTTATATCCTGCCTTTATTATATTTACAAATAACTCAAGTCAGTGAACGTACCCGATACTCCTTTCTCTTCCTGTTTTCTCACAACATCAATCCTCTAAGGTGAGTTGAGCTGAGAGAGAGTGACTGGCTCAAGGTCACCCAGCCAGCTTTCTCACCTAAGGCAGGACTAGAACTTACAGTCTCCTGGTTTCTGGTCTGATGTCTTCACCACTAGACCAAAGTGGCTCTCTTAATAACCCATATTAAGAGTTTGCATGATGGCAATTGTGGTGGCAGAACAGTGTTATTTCTCTGTCCTTATCACATCTCCCAATAGCCACCTGTTGACCCTGTTCAAGGTGACCCAGTCAGTCACAGGATGATCTGCAGGGCTGTTGTGAGAAATATTCCTGATATTTGGCAGATAAAGTTGCTTGGATCAGCTCAGAGTGTCTGGACCAGGGGTGAAATTCTCCCAGTTCGGACCGGATCACCTGATCCGGTAGCGATGGCGGCGGGTGGTTCGGAGAACCGGTAGCAAAAATCCATGTGCCCCACCACCACCACCATGCCCAGCTGAGCCGCACGATCATCAAAGGCTTTTGTTTTTTACTTTTAAAAGCATTTTTTCTACAACCTCTTCGGACGAAAAAATGCTTTTAAAAGTAAAAAAAAAAGGCTCTGATGATCCCAGCTGAGTTGCCTGATTGGCAAAGGCTTTTCAAAGCATTAGAAAAAATGCTTTGAAAAGTTAAAAAAAAAAAGTTGGCCACGCCCACCTAGTCACATTACCCCCCCCCAAGTCACACCCACAGAACTGGTAGTAACAAATTTTACATTTCACCCCTGGTCTGGACAGGTCCTGATGAGGTACCTATGATATGGCCTTCTACTTACCTGGAGCACGTTTGCCTCTGTAACTCCTGGGGAGGTAGATGGGCTCCTCCAGTCTGTCAGCTCAGCCCCCTGTTAGTTAGACCCTCTCAGATGGTTCCAGCTGCCCAGCAAGTGGCCTGTGTCTGGGTAATGTGGTGTTTTCTGCAGGAGGGGACAGTACCGTCAGCCTTGAAGGAGTCTGTGGTGTGCCTCTCCTTAAGGGGCAATTGCTGGACCCCATCATCCTTGACCACTTTCATCCAGTCTCGAACCTTCCCTTTGAACAGAAAGCATTTGGGACTATCAGGCTTCCACTCTAGAGGACCTGAAGGAAATAGATGATCTAGACCTGTTCAGTTGGGATTCAGGCCAGGGTTCAGAATGGAGGCAGTTCGGTTCCATATGTCGAAGTCCTGTGGCAGAGCAAAATGAGAGTGGTGCATCCATCTTGGTACTTCTTGGCTCCTTGGTAGCGTTCAGTACCATTGACCATTGTACCAAGGCCCCATTTGGGGGAAGCTTTGGGGACTGGGAGTAATGGTTTACTGGCACTGCTCTCCTCCTTCCTCTGTGGCCTGTGTCAATTGGTCTTGATAGGGGCAAGAGGTCAATTCTCTCTTCAGGTCTGCTTAACCTCTAGATCAGGAGTCTCCAAATGTGGCAATTTTAAGACTTGTGGGCTTTCTGGCTGGAGAATTCTGGGAGTTGAAGTCCAGAAGTCTTAAAGTTGCCACATTTGGAGATCCCTGATCTAGATGAACCATTGGGTGAGGTCATCCATCAGTTTGGGCTCTGGGCTCATCATCATGCTGATCATACCCAGTTGTGCATCTGAACTGGGGGACAAGTGACATTCTTAAAGTCCTGATCCACGACCAGACCGGAGGCTTTGCAAACCAGGATGGGGAGAAACAGGCTCAAACCCAGTCCTGACAAGACCAAATGGCTTTGTTGGTTTGGCTTCCGTGGGCCCAAGGACATTCCTTCTTTGGTCTTTAATGAAGTGACACTTCCCCAGGCAGGATGGGTGCACGAGGGCAGGTCCTCCTGAACTTCCAGCTCCTGATCAAGGAGGAAGTGGAAGCTGTGGTGAGGAGAGTTATTCCACAGGTCAATCTGGTATCCCAGTTGCACCTGTTCCCGGCCCAGGAGGCTCCTCAGAACAGTCCATGATGCCTTCTTCACCTTGCAATTGGACTCCTGTAATGTGCTTTACCTGGGGCTCCATGGGAGACTACTCAGATGCTACAACTATCCAGAATGCAGCAGCGTGTGCAGTGGAGGCCCTGTACATGTCCCCATTGCTTCACGAGCAGCATTGATTGTCAGTGGCCTTCTGGCTGCAGATCAGGCTGCTGATTATCACCTATGAAGCTCTTCGTGGCTTAGAGCCCAGCCTCCAGGGATCGCACGTCTTTCTATGTTTTGACCTGCCCAGTGTAGTCAGCCACAGTCGGTTTGCTCTGGATCCTATCAAGCACTGCCATACAGATCCAGGAGGTGTGTCTTCCCAAGGATGGCTCCGCCCCTGGAATGATATTACTGCTCACCCAGAAATCCATACTGCTGACATCCTATTTAAGTTTCACAAATTGCTGAAAATTTGGCCTTGGGGTAGAATGGCTGGTTGAACCCCGTTGTTCCTGTTTTTGTTGTTTGTTTGTTTGTTTTTCTATTAAGGACTGGTCTTCCATCAACTGTTTTTGCTTTGCTTTTTATATCTTACTTTTAATGTTACTTTTAAGCTACCTACAGTTGTTCCAGAGCAGGCAGTCATGACATTGGAATATTACATTAATCCCAATATATTCTGTCATTTTCTAGCTCATGCCCCCGATGATGAAGAAAAACCAAAATCAGAAAAACCACACAAAGGTATGTAAGCCAGCTACTAATATTACTTTAACTTTTTTTGGATCTTGTGTTTTGAAACGTACTTAGCTGCATTGGCTTCTTGAAGGTCTGATGCTGCTTCACCCTCACCATCAGCCTTCCATCACCTGGACGACCGTGGGGATGCGGGCCAAGCAATGGGAAGGAGGCCCATGTGAGAGAGGAAGGGAGGATCTGGCCCCCCTCTATTCAGGAGGAGGAATGGAGACCCCCTGCTTTCTGACAGGAGCCTGGGATGCTGTCAGTTGTCTCTTCAGAGAGGGAACAGAGGTGGTCGAGGGGCAGATCTGCAGATAGCAAGCAAATTGCCTTGAAGGAGATAGGCAGGAACTGTTTCCTAGGCAAGAGAGGCTGAAGCATTTTTAAAGTCCAGAACAGACCTCTCAGTGGTGTGTCCAGGGTCCAAAGTGTGGCCTCCTCCTTGGTGAAACCTGGGATGAGTCTTCTGTCCAGCATCATTAGTCCATCAAAGAGTGGAGGGAGTTTAATCTAAGATGAACATTTCATGTACTACAAAGATGATTTGGAGGTGGGAGGAACTTCTAATGTAATTTACTGGATTTTCTGCATGGATTGCCTCTATGACTATTTAAGACAGATGGGGAGGAACCAGACTGTGAGAACACCAGCGAGTGATTAGACAAGGAGACCCGAACTCATTGGTAGCTTCACGTTGCAATGAACAAGGACATGCATTAGGTCTCACAGCTACTAAGATTGTTGGCCGAGCAGGGACAAAAATAGCCAGACGAATAATTGAAGCCTGAGGAATGGGCCCCTTGCCAGTCAATAAGAGTGCTGATTTATCGTCAGCCTATCAGGTATGTAGAGCAGTGGGCATGAGGGCACAAAGAAACAACAACTAATCATAAAATCTATAGACAATTCTTGTTACTATTCAAAGCTTCATTCACATTTTCTTATTTTCTATAAAGAACAATATTTTAAACCCTTTTAAGAAACCAATTTTCTGTAATCGTTAAGTCTATCAACAATTCTTATTAGTAATCAAAAATTCATTCATAATCTTCATGTTTCTTATAGTTTTTCTATAATCACATTTTTCCCACTTTGAAAATCGCTTCTCTCAATAATAATAATAAAAAGTAAAAAAGGAAGGAGAAAGAGAGAGGAAAAAAAGGGATAAAAGTAAGGCAAAAGAGATCAAAAGAAAAAATTAGAAAAAGAAAGAAGAAGAAAAAAAAGAGGAATAAAATAAAAAAATTATAGGAAAAAAGGAAAAATTAGAAAAGAGAGAAAAAGAAGGAGGAAATCTCCTCACATTATTTAGACATTAATTGCATAAAGAGCATTTGCCTCCATTTAAATCAGACTGTCGTATTTTTTCTTGTCTTGCTACTCAACATATTCCAGTTTTTTTTCCTTTCTCCAATCTGTCCATCTTTTTTTTTCTTTCCTTTCAATTCCAATATCAGTAAGGTTATAAAGACTAAAGGGTTTAGTTCTTTGTATTCTATATATGGTGTCATCATGTCTTCTTCCGTTGCTACGCCCTTCCCTTTTGTTGCCACGCCATTAATCAGCAGTTTTAATTGTTCCGATTAATTCCTTCTTTCCAACTGTCCATAAGTAGTCCAGAGACAGATTAAATGCATCTAAAATCAGGCCTCCTTTAGTGGGCACAGCTTCGAAAGCACAAGACGCAACACACCTGGTGATATATTGCTGTCATAGGAGGAAGGATGGTTCCCGAAAATAGAAAGGCTTGGTGAGGTGCAGGGAATGGTGGTGGTGTTTAAACTAGAGCTTAACTATGCTGTCCCCCTTTCTCCGCTTCCTTTTTGTTGCGGGATTAACGTTTCTTGCCCTGCTTCTGCTTTTTCCATCCGTGGTTTATCCCCCAAAATAGCGTGATGGGCATGCATTGACATGCAGATTTGTTCAAGGCCAGAATAACGTCTGGCAGCCCAGGCAGCTCTAGCATGACAGCCAGGTGAAAAGAGTCCAAAGGAGGGTTAGATCCTCACTTGAAGGTAAAGCACCACCTTCCTTTCCATGCCCAGGCAGAACCGGCACTTTCTGTCACTGTCCAGGTAGGCCTCGACTTACAACCACAATAGAGCCCAATTTTTTTGTTGATAAGCAAGAATTTTGCCCCATTTTACAAGCTTTCTTGCCACAGCTGTTAAGCGAATCCCCACAGAGGTTAAGTTAGTGACACAATTGTTAAATGGGTCTGACTTTGCTCGTCAGAAGGTCACACGACCCCGAGACATAGCAACGGTCACAAATACGAGCATCTGAATTTTGATCACGTCCCCATTTGGATGCTGCAATGGTCATAAGTGTGAAAAATGGTCATAACTGACCTTTTCCAATGTGTTGTAATTTCGAACAGTCACTAAAGGAGCTGTGGTAAGTCGTGGAATACTGTATTTAATTAGGAACAAATGCCTCGCTCGTCTTGGGGCGAGGCACAGCTGGGGAAGTTGGATGTAAAAACCCACTGTGTTATTTTCTAGGTCACAAATCAAAACATCCACCACCACCACCACCGCCGCCACCACCACCCAGTAAGTGAATTTTGGAACCAACCCTTTCTTATCTGAAACACTACTAATATTGATTTAACTGTTAAAAAGCTTGTAACTAGAGGTCTTTGCACCTCTGAGCGTCTTTCTAGGCCTGGTGCAGATTCACCCTCCCTACAGCCTTCCATCACCAGGATGGTTGTGGGGATGCGTGCCAAGCAGTGGGAGAGAGGCCCCTCCGAGAGAGGAGGGAAGGGAGGCTCTGGACCCTCTCCAGGCAGAGGAGGAATGGAGACCCCCCCCCTGCTAAGCCTGGGATGCTGTCAGAGGAAGCCCAGGGGGATGCATCCCAAACAGTGAAGTCCTTGGCGGTAAAACTGAATATAATCCTTTTCCGTGTTTGTTTTCCCCAAAACCAGCTCTTAAAACCGTGGTAATACGATTCCTCATAGGACACGACTGCGCCACAATATGTCTTATACTTAACTTCTTCCTTATTGTCATCACTTTGTGGATGGCCATTCTGGGTAAGTTTCTAATTATATCCAGCGGGTTCCACACAGGAGCATTTTCTACTCAGAACAAAAACAAGGAAAGTTGGCAATTTAGAAAGAATGGCTATGGTGTCTTTATGGCACGTCACTATTTGCGCCTTGCGCGCAACATAAAATACCAGCAAAAGGAAATCTCAGCCAAAATCGGTACCAGTGATGTTCCCACCATCTCTCTGGAATTCCCAGGTACAAAGAACTGAAAATGTAGCACAGGTGCCTCTGTCCCCTTCTTAATCACAGCGATTGAGGGCTAGATCTGGCAAGGGCAAAAGCAGACAGGCTGAAACTTGTCTGGTCTGTTAAACGGGTGTCAGCCACTTCTCATGTGCCAAAGGGTTAGGCTCTGAGCCCATTTCCCCATCTAAGCGGCAGAAATAGGCACCAGAATGACTATTGCTCTGGGCTGCCAGTGGAAGCATGGCGATCGAAACACATGTCTGTGGCGAGCAGAGATGATGATGATGGCAAAGAGTGAACAAGTAGGAGAGGATGGGAGATTACCCTCATGGAGGGAAAAGCATTGTTCCCAAGTCCTCCAAGAGCTGATTCGAAATATTAGATGAAACATCATTCATTCAGGAGCTGGAAAAATGTACCCTGTGCTTCCTTTTTCCTGGATGGACATGGAGATGGATGGAAACTAATCAAGGAGAGAAGAATCCTGGAACCAAGGAGAAATTTCCCAACAGGGTTGACATTTTACTTTTAATTAATGAGCTGTTCAATTTTAATGTAGGGGTCAAAGGTAATGTCACAGCAAGGCAAGAGTTAACAAGAGGGGTCAAAGAGGCCATCTATCTTAAAATTGAACAGCCCTCTCTCAACAGAGGGATACAACGCCACCCATCTCCAGTTTACAACACAGTCCTTTCAGCAGTTCCAAGAAGGTTCCACACACATTTGACTATTCTGGTGATCCTGAGGACACAGATAAGCCTCCAAGTGGCCTCAATGACTCTCAGAGAGAGTGCAAACAGCCAGATGAGTGCAAGGCCTTCCATTTTCCACCATTCAGTGAGAACTGAAGAAGCGTCCTGAATGAGAAAAACAAAGTCCAGTTGCCTCTTGAAAAAGCACCTTTGGGACAACCATGATATTGACTATACATTGAAAAAGAAGTAATGCAACTGTTGGAAGAAATGTCCGTTCCAAGTGGGGAGAAAGACACTGGAAACATGGAGGCTGCTTGGAAGGATGGTTTAATGGTGAATAGGACCACATGGATTTGAAGTCCTGGGTAGCTGACCACATGGAGTGGAGAGTGAGTATTATTTTATACTCTCTCTTGGGTTTTGACCTTGAGCTTCCTGTTCCTGTGGCAAGGGCATGTACCCTATTGGTTGCAGACTTCCATGTAGAGTCATGTTTGTCTGAATTGAGTTTGGTTGAACCTTTCTGGGTGATGTAAAGAAGGGGCCTGGTTGTGGCATTTCGTGCGCTAGATAATCCTATTATGTCCTGGAGGGCCATGTCTTAATCCCATCACCCTGGAGCTGAGGTCTTTTGTTTTGTAGATAGGCTGGCCCAGTCTTAATGTGCACCAAATGTCTGCTGTGGGCAGGGAGCTTCAGGGAGTGTTGTGACCTGCCAGCTGCCAGCAGAGCTGCCAGGAGACTCGGACGATGAGGAGGTTTGGGAGGAACCTGGGCCAGTGCTGGAGTCTGGGGAAGGCTCTGATGGATGCTCTGCATCGGATGCTGAGATAGAGCCAGGGCCATCCAACATTTCCCAGCTGCCGGAGAGGCAGCTGCCTTTGGAGGCTGAGATGAGTGAGGAGAAAGAACAGCTGGGGCCTGTTCCAGATGCATGTATGCACAGAGCTGTTAGGAGAGGAGAACAACGGAGGACAAGGAGCAACTCGGGAAGCAAAGCAACATGGATGCTGAATGGCCCCTCCCAGGCTGGGGAATAAATAGAAGGAAAGGGGAGTGGTTGTCGTAGGAGACAACCGTTCGTATTTCTGAAGATTTTGCTCATTGTGTTTTGTGCCACAAAGACTGCTTGCCAGAACTTCATTTGCAGCCTTCCGGCTGGGAGCTCACAGCCTTGCAATTATTTCAAGGAACTGATAAGGTCTGTTACTGCAGTTAACTCCTTGAAGGACTCTTTCCTGGACTTTTTGGTGGGTGAATGCCATTAATCCACAAGATTAAATAAATAAAGACGGCTTTTCGAGGCAAGGAGTCTGTTTCTTGCTTCTGCTAAGGCTGGGTCAGAACAGGGTTCAGGTTAGTCTTTGCTGCTTTGTCTGTAAAAACATGTTTCTCCTTTTCTCATCCAGGGAAGTATAATATTCTGCCTTTTTAATATTTCCTAAAATATTCCATTCTTCTAAGGGGGCTGGGTGCTCACTTTCTTCACAACTTTGGCGTAAAACATTACTTTAACAACAACAGTGTTCAGCATTAAAAAATGTTCTCCTCCCTCAACAATCATTTTCAGGATAACCGGAAAGAGATTGAAGAACCAAAAGCAATTTATTTGTTCCCAGTTCAAGGACACCTAAATGAGTCACTCAAACTCATAGGCTGCAATTTAAGATGAACTGATATTTACTTTGGGTGTGCATGTGTCGCAGTATTATCTCACAGCTAAAGTCCCTGTATTGATCAACTTCTCTTTCAGTGCAGCAAGAAGAGATGAAATATGAGCCTCTTCGTAAGGCAATACAGAACATTAGGAAGTTCATGGTTGCACAGAATCCTGACCTTAAGGTATTTAGTGGTAAGTAATGTTACAGTCTAAATGTACAAACCTATTCCTGAGGCCACCTGACATCCTTCCTTCCTTCCTTCCTTCCTTCCTTCCTTCCTTCCTTCCTTCCTTCCTTCCTTTCATCTCTATCCCTCTGTCTCTCATCCTGTGAGAGCGGGATGGGGGAAATGCAGCCATCCTTGCTCTCCTTGACCTTCCAGTGGCCTTCGATACCCTTGACCATGGTATCCTTTTGTGTCGGCTACAAGGGGTGGGCCACCTCAGACAGAGCCAGGCTGCAGCTTGGGGGTTCTCCCGTACCCGCGACTCCTGCTGAAAGAGCAGGGGGCAGTCGGGGCTAGGAGAGCCTTTGCACAACTCCCTCTTGTGCACCAGTTGCAGCCTTTCCTGGACTGGGAGTCCCTGCGCTCAGTCACTCAAGCCCTGGTCAACACCTGTTTGGACTATTGCAATGTGCTCTACCTGCAGCTTCCCTTGAAGAGCATTTGGAAGCCACAGCTGATGCAGAGTGTAGGGCTGCGGGCAGTTCTTTGGGCCCCTGGAGTGGTCCTTGTTACCCCACTGCTTTGAGAGCTTCACTGGCTGCCACCTTCTTTCCTGGTGCAATTCACACTGCTGCTTATTACCTTGAAAGGCCTGCATGGCATGGCTCCATTTCACCCTGGTGAGACTGGCCCACCCCATTCGTGCCGGCACAGCGGGGGCATGCTGCGGATCCCGTCAGCCAAGGAATTTTGGCTGGTGGGCTCCAGAAGAATAGCCTTCTCTGCCATGGCTCCTGTCCTCTGAACACCCCACCCCCTGAGGTGAGATCGGCTCCCACGCCCCTGACTTTTCATTAGAGCCTTACCTACCCAACTGAAGGATAAATATCCAACAATTTCAATCCCCCTAGCTAGATTAGCAGCAGAATGGAAGGGTTAAACATTCACCTGCTGCTGCAGATATTCCTCAGGTGCTCCTTCGGTTTCAGAAAACTAGCCACATGTATTCCCTAGAGTCAGGGAGAAGATGCCAGACTGAAGATCCAGAGAACCTTGAACCAACCTCGTAACAGAATAACAGAGTTGGAAGGGACCTTGGAGGTCCTCAAGTCCAACCCTCTGCTCAAGGAGGCGACCATGGACCATTCCTGAGAAAGAGTTGTCCAATCTCTTCTTGAAAACCTCAAAGGAAGAAAATGCACAAGGGAAGAAGAAAACGACACCATCCTTCCTGGATATCCTTATCAGCAGAGACTCTGATGGCAGACTGGAAACACAAGTCTACCGAAAAACCACCCACCCCAGCCAAATGCTCCACTACCAAAGTACCCGACCTCCCGCGAGAGAAGCTGCGGAAGAACACTGTTTAGATGGGCACAGACTCACTGCAGCAGCCCTGAACCCTCTGGAAAAGGAAACAGGCCGTCTATACAACATTTCCCAACAAAATGGATATCCACGCAACTTTACCCAAAGTGCCCGACCACTCAACCCACCACCGCACAACCAAGTACAGCACTGACATTTATCAAAAATATCTCAGAATCAACCAACAGGCTACAACAACCGCATGACATCACCTAGCACCCAAACCAACTGAAGCCCCCCAAAACCTCCTAAGGAAACAAAAAAATCCAGCAGCCCCATAAGAGAAAACAGGAGCCATTGACAACATACGGTGTGTAAAGACTGCAACTGCCACTACATAGGACAAAACATGCCCCACAGATGGACTCTGGTTTCCACTGGGATTCCTTCTTCCTCTCAGTCGTCAATCACCCAGATTGCTGTGCTTTACCATTGCCCTCTTCCCAGGGCTGAGAGTGAGGGACTGGCCCAGGCTCTGTGTCTAAGGCAGGATGAGAATTCATGGTCTCCTGAGCCCTTAACCCCAAACTGGCTTCCTTGCCTTGCTGTGATATTATTGACTCCAGCAGATGTTGACATTCTCACAGTGGAAACAGGAAGTTAACACACTGCTTTCCAGAGTGAGCTTCACAAAGACACCTACCTATGTCTCCCTAGTCCAGCGAGAAACCGCACAGTATCGGTGGCAAAGGCTGGGTTTTAGCTTTGTCAGAGAAAGTAAAGTAACCTATTTGGCCTTGGGATCCCTTTGGGAACAGAGAAGAGGAGCTTTTGAGGGGTCCTTGGTGCTCTCTGAGCTCGGTGGTTTTCTTGCACCCAAACTAAGTGACATCGTCAGTGCCAACATGTACGTGCTGCTGACGTTACCAGGTTTGGCTCACGAAATGTCTGCAAGAAAACCACCGAGCTCAGAGAGTCTCAAGGACCCCTCATTTCAACCCTGAGCTACAAATATTCTCCTTTAACCGAAGGCCTTTTCCTAGCTGTGTGATCCTACACATATCTTCAGATGCTTGTTTTGTGGTGGGGTGGTGCTGAAAGATGAGCTCTTTGGAAAGAGGCAGAAAGCTGTTCATATCTAAGTAAGCTTTCTTGCTGCATTTGTTTCAGATGTTGATATAATCCTGGAAGCTGAAAAGCTTGCAACTCAACTGTTGCCATGGTCTACAAAGCTCAATGAAATTGAAGCTGAGATTAGTATGTTTCTCACAGGTTTTGACAGATAAGTATAGTATGTGAAGGGAAGGAGAGCCCACCCTGAAACTGGAGTGTTGGTGCTGGGATGGCCTCTGGGGGGTGGGTGGGTTGAAGTCCCACCAACCTCGTGGCGGAGGTGTCTATGAGAGGGTTTCCTGCTTGAGCAGAGGGTTGGACTACAAGACCTCCAAGGTCCCTTCCAACTCTCTTAGTCTGTATATATGTAAGGCGGGGAGCCTTCCAGTTGTGGCAGTGTGATCAAAATCCTGCCTCTTTGTGGAGACTTCAGCACCACCTGCACATGTAAAAGGGGAGGGGCTTTGGGTAGACAAAATCTGCAGGTAGTCCTTGCTTAGCAAGCCCAATTGGGACCGCCAAGAACAGCGGTCGCTCAGCAGAACAATCACATGACCAGGATGGACTTACCACCTCCCTTCCCCTGAAGTGAGATTGATGAAATGAAGCGTTGTGGCCATTCAGGAAACATTTCCTGACCACAACCTGGGACTTTACTTCTGCCTTTTCTATTCATCCTGCTTGTGGCAAACCCGTTGCAGCTCATGTGACTGAGGGATGCCGAGATGATTGTAAGGACAAGGTTTGGTTACATAGCCAGGTTTTATGCCAAAATGAGGCCGTCGGTAAACAAGGACTAATTGCACATTTACCAGCTCAAAGAAGGTAGGGATTTTCTCTCTGGGATTTCCATAGGTCTATTCCAAATCGCCACCTTCATTTTCCACGATGGAAAAAACTCCAAAATTCATGGTTAGAGCAGGGGTCTCAAACTCAAAGCCCGTGGGCTGGATCCGGCCCACGGGGCTGTCCCAATGCGAAGAGGAAAGATTGGGCCAGCGTGGCTTCGGCCCAATCTACCCAATGCACAGGGGAAACATGCCAGCAGTTTGGAGAGTGGCATCAAGATGGCCACGCCCACCCAGTCAGCCACACCCACCCAGTCGGCCATGCCCACCCGTCCCCCTGAGATCAACCACAGCCCTGATGCGGCCCTCAATGAAATTGAGTTTGACACCCCTGGTTTAGAGGATGTGACCCTTGTTCTTCTCTAACTTTAATGGTCAAACATTCTCCTTAGGATAATGCATTACTATGAAATATATTTAAAAGTAAGAGGTAAGGAAGAAAAATTTAGAATGCCCTGAACACATCCTCTATTAGATGTCTATTGATTGATGAACAGGCACAGGAAGAAGGCAGCAGAATAACTTCTCCAACTGATGAGTAGATATCCTCGTAGATAGAGATTGCCTTTCTTTCTTTATTCTGAAATTTATTTGCCACCCATCTTGCATACAAGGACTCTTATATAGAGATTGCCATCACACTGTTCCTCTTCAGGATAAGCAACAGCATGCAAAGCAGCAATAAAAGTAAATAAATAAAGGAAACGGACGTTGTCTTACCTGAACGTCCATTTTCAGGGCGCTGCAGCTATACTCCATAGCTGGGTTGCTTCCTCCTGTTTTGACATCAACTGAGTGGACTTTCAAATCAAATTCTCCCTCTCTCTGTGCTCTGGCCACGCCCCTTTGTCCCATGATCCTTCGGTCTTGAACGAAGGTGCAGCACAGCAAATGTGGAACCGTCCAAAGAACAACAACTGGAACAAACACCGGTAGGTCTGACACAGGAACAGAGCAGGAAGCCCCTATTAAAAAAATAATAGGGGGGAATGGAGTGTAGCCGCAGCGCCCCGAAAATGGACGTTCAGGTAAGACAACGTCCTTTTTCCAGAGTGCTGCAGCTACACTCCAAAGCTGGGATATACCCAAGCTTAAAACATAGGGGCAGGAAGCTGACTGCTCCCCGAGGCCAAGTCTGAAATGACTGACTGCAACACCCTCCTTCCGAAAGACGCCTCCGCTGAGGCGTACGAGTCAATACAATAATGTTGAATGAAAGGAGACAGGGAAGTCCACTGGCTGCCTGACAGATGTCCGACATCGATGCCTGAGTCGCCCATGCCGCTGAAGTTGCCACACTGCGGGTGGAGTGAGGCAGGATCCTGCCCAGAAGAGGCTGTGCCTGAAGCTCGTAGGGAGATGAAATGCAGGCCTTGATCCAGCGGCCCACCGTAGATGAGGAGACCTTTTGCCCCATGGAGGCAGGGTGAAATGAAATGAGGAGGGCCTCCGTCCGTCGAAACGAGGCCGTTCGATGGATATAACGACGAAAGGCATGGCAGACATCTAGTGTATGCCAGCGGAGCTCCCGCTGATGAGTAGGTGAAGGGCAGAAATCAGGGAGTATGATCTCCTGGGCCTGATGAAACCACGAGTTCACCTTGGGGGTGAACGCCGGATCAAGTCGAAGCAACACCCTGTTGGTATGAAAGATGCAGAGATCTTTCCTAATAGATAAGGCAGAAAGCTCCGAGATCCTCCGGGCCGAGGTAATGGCCAGGAGGAAGGCAACCTTAAAGGAGAGGAATTTCAGTGAAACAGAGCCCAAAGGCTCAAATGGTGGAGTAGTCAGAGCCTGGAGGACCAGTGGAAGATCCCAAGAGGGATATCGGTGCACTGTGGGAGGATGCAAATTGGTGGCTCCATATAGGAAGTCCCTGATCCAGGGATGATGAGGTGGCTGGGGCCAAGCCCTTGTCGAAGCCCACTTGCAGGAACTCTAGAACATCTTGGATAACCACCAACGTCGGGTTGACATGGTGCCCTGAGCACCAGAAACAAAACACCATCCAGGTCGCTTCATACAGTTGAGTCGTGGACGGCCGCCTGGAGGCCTGGATCGTGCCGATACCTTGTCAGAAAGTCGATCTCTCTTCAAGATGACCCATTCAAATGCCAGACAGCCAACTGGAGCCACTGAGGCTCTGCATGACAGATGGCCCCCTGGCATCTGATGCAGGGGAATCACCCACGGACTTTCGACCGAGAATTCCATGAGGTCCGTGAACCAGTGGCGGCGTGGCCAATTGGGAGCCACCAACAACAGTTCCACCTTGTCGGTGACCATCTTCCGGATGACCTGCTGAATTAGCGGGATTGGAGGGAATGCGTATAGAAGTCCGGGAGGCCAATGGCACCGTAAGGCATCCATGTCCTCCGCCAGAGGATTTGGGTAATGGGTTATGTAGCGAGGCAACTGGGTGTTGCGGGACTTGCAAACAGATCAATGACCGGTGTCCCAAATTGGGCTGACAGTTCGCGAAACAACTGAGGCTGAAGTTGCCACTCGGCGGGATCGATCAGCTCTCTGCTGAGCCAGTCCGCCTGTTGGTTGGCTGACCCCGATATATGATCCACCCATATCGACAGGAGGTGTTGTTCCGCCCAGCTGAAAAGCCTTTCTGACTCGAGCATCAGCGGGCGGGACCTCGTGCCCCCTTCTCGATTCACGTGTGCCTTGGCCGACATGTTGTCCGTGAGGACTAGGACGTGGATCCCTTGCACAGCGGAGCAGAAGTGATGAAGGGCTAGACGAATTGCCTGAAGCTTGAGAAGGTTGATGCTATTGAGTTTCTCCGATGGCGATCACTGACCCTGAGCCACCTGGTTGGCCAGGTGGGCCCCCCAGCCCTGGAGACTGGCGTCGGTGGTCAACACAAGCTGGTTGAGCTCCAGGAAGTGACAGCCCTGCAGAAGTGCTTGAGACCCCCACCACCACAGGGAGAGACATACTTGAGTAGGTACAAATATCTTCTTCCCTCTGTTGGAACAGCCCCTCCACTGGTAAGGGAGAATGAGCCACTGCAATGGCCGGGAGTGCCTTCGGGCCCAAGGGACAATGTTGAAGCATGACACTATTTTCCTGAGCAGTTGAGAGAGTGTCAGGAGAGAAACCGATCTCTGAGCCAGGACCTGTCTGACCAAGACCCTGATGCTCCGAACTCTGTCCGGGGACAGAAACTCCTGACCTCTGGTGGAGTCTATTATCGACCCTAGATGAAGGATAGATGTGGAGGGCACTAGATAGTTCTTGTCCAGGTTTATGGAAAAGCTGTGCTTCTGAAAGGCTGACAGTACCAGGTCCTTGTCCTGTGTAGCCCGATCCCGGGACGACAAGAGAACGAACGTTGTCTTACCTGAACGTTCCTTCTCTGCGCGCTGATGGAGAATCCAAATGACGGGTAGGTTCCTCAGCTTCATTGCTGGACTGGGTGACTGTTTCTTTAAGAAACAACCTTGGCCACTCCTCCTTTGCCTGGCTAAGCCCCAGTTCATTCGCGAAGTCAATAGAGAATGGTAGTCCTGAAACAACAAAGGAGACAGAAAACAAGGCAGTCCTGGCCGGAAGCAGCCATGGGATGGGTTGGATTCTCCATCAGCGCGCAGAGAAGGAACGTTCAGGTAAGACAACGTTCGTTCTCCAGCGCGCTGCCTGGAGAATCCAAATGATGGGATATACCCAAGCTAGTTAGAAGTAGGGTGGGAGGCTGCGTCACCCCAGGAAGGAACGGCCAGGACAGACTGCAGTACTCGACGTCCAAAAGAAGCTTCAGCCGAGGCAAAGGAGTCAATTTTGTAATGTCTAACAAAGGGAGTCAAAGTAGTCCATGTGGCAGCCCTACAGACGTCAAGGATGGAAGCCTGGGTAGCCCAAGCCGCTGAGGTGGCTGCGCTACGTGTAGAGTGTGGAAGTATCCTCCCTGGCAGAGGAGTCCGTCTGGTGCGATATGCCGTGACGATGCAGGCCTTGATCCACCGGCCTATCGTGGAAGAGGAAACCTTCATGCCTAAGGTAGAAGGATTGAAGGACAGGAACAAGGCTTCGGATTTACGGAAGGACGCAGTCCGCTTGATGTAGCGGCGGAGAGCTCGTTTAACGTCCAAGGTATGCCATTGTTGTTCAAGATGATGGCTAGGAGCCGGACAAAAGTCAGGCAGAATTAACTCCTGGGAACGATGGTACAGAGAATTTATCTTCGGCAGGAAGGAAGGATCTGTGCGAAGAACCACCTTGTTGGGATGGAACACGCAAAGGTCAGGCCGTACCGAAAGCGCCGCCAACTCGGACACTTGTCT